TCTAAGAGAAGTAAGACCAGTGGTTGCAGTAGGTCATTATTCATATCGTAAAATAAAATAGTTGGAGCTCAATTTTCCCTTTTTCAAACAAATAGACTTTGACACTCAGCATAGAATAATTGGAAATATGGTTACTACACAAGGTAAGGAATTAGAAAATACTTAAGATATAATGTTCTAGTGGTACAAAGGTGTTTTTGACCAACTTCAACAATCGAACTCAAGTCGCTACGTCGAAAAGTGTATGAATGTTTTATTAAAAAGGTGTAAAGGGAAATATGATTAAACAGTTTTATACATAATTTGAACTAAATTTAAAATAAATTGTTATTATAGTAAGGCTTGACGGCTGGATAAGTGTTTAGAAAGGTAGTGATACGATGAAGTTCCGAATGAAAGAAGAGGAAAATCGTCAAACATAACTTTTTAGAGGTCATATTTATGCAGATATGATAAGACGAACCTGATAATCCAACGAACTCAAAGAATGTAGTGCAACTTAGATCCCCGGATGTAAACATTAAGTCCTTACGTTTGTCACTGGTTGACCGGATGTTTTACTTACCTATGGCCAACCCTTTCTGCCTAAAGGCAGTTTAGGCTTCCATACTTTGACCTTGTCAAAGCTCTTTATAAAGTACAACAGTCATCTGAATTAAAGACATTCGGTATAGCAGGTAAAGTGCACGAGTGGGTTTCACCCCCCCTAAAGGACTGAACCCAAGTAGCAAAAAGTGGGAAAACAATTATCTTACTATCAGGACATTTCCAGTGGTATTCTCAGGTGTCAGATCGTTATGTACTTTAGTGACCTGTCCAATCGCCTCACACTTAACGAAATCATTTTATTTGCTGAAGACGTTAATGAGGTATATGTACTCCATCCAAGCCTCATTCTGAACATCAGCCATATAGGTCTGGATAAAATCCTAAGCTTGTGTCATGTCTGGCTTCTACATCTTAATATCGAAAAATCTGAATACTCGTATTTTGGTACATTCAATATAGGGTGCAATTCGAACAATTAAGTTGCTTGTGCGATGTAATAGTGAAATATTCCGAGGACCATTCATTCACCGAACATGCTACATCTCAAATCTCTAAAGTCCATAGACTTATTGGGCTTATCAGTTGTAATGTCCTTTTAAAGGAATCCCAAATTACTCTTTACAAGGTATTTGTTCGACTCCCCAATTATGTACAGTTGCATTTTTCAGGGCCTCTCACGCCAGACCTATCATATGAAGATAGATGCGGAGCATGGATACTAGATCCCTTATGGTTAAGACGAATTAAATTTAACCTTACCTTTTCAAAATACTGTATGGTAAAACTACAGGAAATTGTGGTACGTCAAGACTTAACAAAAAATAGTAATTGTTACTTCGAACTCAGGTTTGTGCATTACAGAACATCAAGCAAATTAAGGTCAACTTTCTTTGTCACAAGCTACGCATGCCTCTAGAATAGGTTACCATTAAAAATCCGGTCAGGTCAAGCACAATCAACCATAATGCTGAGCCCATCGACATTTTGTTAATTTACGCCTCCCTAAGGTCACGTGGCATGTCACGAACCAATGATATTGATGCCGGTTTATTATACAAGATACCTCTCTAAAACGTGATTGTGATGTTGGTTTGGTTTCACTTCCTACCGAGCAATCGCGTTTCAAGCAAAACAATTTGCTAAAGACAAAGCGTGCTCATGACCCTATAAAATAAAAAATGAGCTAAAATAGCTTTGACATAGAAGGGAGATAGCCATTTGTGTGTCAAGATACAGTTTTGAGTATTATAATTTTAAACATCAAGCAATCCTATGGTCTCAGCTTCTTTTCGATCAACCTTCATTTATGCAGTCCTTTGTCCATTCATACCATATTCACACCTGTTTAATCTAATAGAATTCTCTTGCTTAAAAAGTACCTTAATAATAGAAAATAAGACTAAGTAGTCATACCTTCATTATTTCACCACAAATGACTAGATTATAATATGCATGAACAATGTATGCTTTGCTTCTCTTCCTTTCTTTTCCTCACTCTATTTTTCATCACTCTTAAGATATGCCGCCGATAACGCATATGGAACGGGTGGCTTTGTCTCGCACCATCAACAATACCTCGGATATTCCAGAGGGATATAAGGCCACGGTTTATAGAAGCTCTAAAATTCACGTGGATTTACCCCCGACTATCAGTTGCACGTCGCAACGTAACCCCTATAATGCGCGCCAACTGTTATATTGACGATAAGCACCTAACTAATGTTATTTGCATTCATAGGTGAGATGTATTATCCCCCCATACTTTTATCAACAATGTACCTCTTAAAATATCAATTTAAATGTATAACACACCACAGTTTTCAATTTTATTCACATGTTTTCATCCTACCACGTATTTTTAAATCCTTACTGATTAGCTTAAACGTATTCGATTTCCTAGAACTTCTACCTATTAGTTTGTTTCCGCTAATTTGTTTTGTTTGGAAACCCATTCTCTATCCTTTACTGCTATACAATGGTGTTTCAATGTTCTGCTAACTGAGTATCAGCGTTAACCGCCCGATGATCCTGTACGAAATGTGGAGCTGGTGTTTAATTACAGAATGTGGAACAAAGAGCTTGAAGATAAGACAGTTTTAGTCTAACTATCATCTTAAAAGAGCCCAATATCAAAATATCAGGGAGGGTGGAGTGACTAACTACCAAACATTGGTGGTGAAAGGGATTATTATTTCATTCCCTAATGTTTCTGGGACAGAAAATTTTGTTTCCGGCTGTTTGTGATTGGTGATGAGGCGACTATTCAATTATATTGAGATTGTTCTCACATGTTTTCTGCCCCTTAATATCTCATCTTCTATCTTATGTTAAGTTCGCAATTTTACCAAGCCGTGCTATAACATGGTATTTCAGATATTTGAGCGCAAACCTAACGGATGTCATTCGATAACAACAATAAAGAGAGCAATAAATTGATAAAGGGTATGGTGGTAAAGTCATATAAAAATTTCTACACCTTACGTTTCCGTTAAATTTCCGAAATCAACAAACACTTTGCTCCCCAATCTTTATTGCATTTAGTGGGGGCTCCTTCCTCATCACAATTCTTCACACATTACGTTTAGATACCGTGGTTTATGTAAAGTTTCTTCATTAGTTGGTTCTAGTCCTAACTGCTGAGAGGCATACATTGAATCTCCCCTACTGAGAAAATCTAGGTTTTACCGACAACATTTTGTTGTTAGTTCTGTTGCTTATTTGATCTTCAATTTTTCAGCACCACTAATGTTACACGCAAGGATGAAATTAGAAGCAGATGTGTGTTCGCCGGGGTTACGATATGAACGATATGCCGTCTTTGAATAGGTTGTAGAAACTGTGAAGTCACAGCGCGGTATCAAAACATGAGTACATTAACTAATTCTTTGGTATATGTTTTCAGTGACTATGTTTATTTAATAACCTTATAAACCCATGTTTTAAATTATTGATTATTTCAGTAAAAATGGCGTTTACCTGATATACCGGGAACATATCATTATGATTGTTTTTGTGTCCGCAAATGTACTGCCGTGTTTCCACGATAAATGTGTCTTATAACATGTCAACTGAGCAACGTATCACAGTAAATACTGGAACATTTATAACATTTTAAACTTTTCTGCAGTCTGGTATGCCTTGTGTAACATATTTTTATTTGAGAATATTATTATTGTTATTATTGCATGAAAAGTATTACCAAGTGAAATGTTACAAAATAGTGGAAGTGATCATATGGGAAAGACTGTAGAGAAATAATGAAATTCATCAGAATTCTAGATAAAATAACCGTCAGTAAACCTAGTATAGAGATTGTTAGTCACGTTACAATGCTAGATTTAGTATCCACCATTAGATCAGCACGTGAAAATAGGAAAAATCTTTGCTGGAACTAAGTTGTAGTCAATTAATATAAAAGTATAAATAAAAAAGGATGACTAGAAGTTTTCAACTTATAGTAACCATGTATGTGAAACATAGATGACCCGCGGTACGAAAGCTGATACGGAAGCCGGATACGATCTTTTGAAAAACCGGTGGACGAACACATACACATGAAAAATTTCGATGATTGGACATATTTAAATTGATTTATTAACCGATGATTGCCGAAATATGTTATTTAGGGCATTTAGAACAAGATAAGCACAGTTGGACGTATTGTAGCCGGAATTTGTAATGAGTGCACAGCCAAGCTTGAAGAAATCACTGTTTATTATAAATACGAAAAATAATCAAGTGACGTCTTGAGGCTATACCTATTTTGCGAACTTTAAAATAATTCACAATAGGTCGAGTTCTACTTCTGATTGTTGACTTAAAGCGTATTTATTCAGATGTATTCATCAAGTTGATAAAATCTTGTCAAACCGCAAGCCCTGAAGACCTTAGAGACGAACAATATGAACAAATGTTTCTTTTGCGGTAAATACTGAATGAAGATCAGGACATTTCCCATATCAACTGCATCTGTATATTATGAATTTTATCTAGCTTTATAAAAATCAATGTCCTATAGTCATAACGAATCAATAATTAGCTTAAGAATAATATGTATATGGTCATTACAAGTGTCTTTCTTGTTGCAGTGGGAAGCAGCAATGCATCAATTTGCTCCAGACGATCCATTCGTTCATTCTGTTTCGTTAAAATATGTAACAGTAATGGTATGCTCTCAAACAACAATATGTTGCGTGATGCACACCAGTTTACAGACTATATCAAACTGTCACAATGGTACAGGCTCGAATGCACCAAGTTATCCAATTAGGTTGAAATATTGTAAGACAGGTTGGTCATGGAAACAAGGTATACTGTGAATATACACACATCATATGCAAGAATAAAGAGTTGATTAACAAGAATTAATTGGCCCATGCGGATATTTGCGGAAATCCATGACTATTGTACTAGATCTCAAAATTAACTCTCCATTATAATATTGAACTAGTGAAGGGAATGAGCTCCTGTTTTGATTCTTGTGGTCACTTGATTTTATGTCTCTAAATGTTTCATGGTTCTAAACGTACCTTCGAAATCAGTTGGTGTGAGAAAGCATCTAGAAGTTTACGGTTTGCCACTGTCATTAGTAGGTTTTTTTCCACATAGCTGAACTTTTCAGTGTAATACGGAAACGCGTTTACTAAGGGTTCGTGTAATTCGGGCGTTGGATCTTATGAAAAAGGATATATTCGGAGCCAGGTATGCTTTAGTTTTCTTGACTTATTTTGATTTTTAGCGACCCGTACTGCAAACTTTGTATATATAAAACTCAGCGTTCAACTCTCCCCTTGTGTTCACCAGTACCAACAAAAACTGTTAAGAGATCTCTCAACCCGATTTGGAACGAAGAATTTATTTTCAGGGTAATTTAAACAAAACTAAATTCGTAAATTTCAGGTTAATCCATCAGAAAACCGTTTGGTTTTTGAGCTTTACGACGAAAATAGAATTGTAAGTTAGTACATTTCATTAGTTACGTCCACAGACGAGGGATGATTTTTTGGGTGTCGTCACTGTATTTCTGCCGTATCTGGAGATTGGCACGGAGGGATCTAATTGTCGGTTGATGGCAAAGAGCTTTCTACTGCGCCCTAGAAGGTATTGTCATTTTTAGATGATCTATTGACGCAAGTATGATATTGACGTAGATTTCGATCCCTGGAATTTTTAGGGACCTTTTTGCATCTAACCGTGACACACATGTTTTAGATGTGCAGTGGTTTACCTATTCGGGGGTCGAAATGTCGATAATACAGTGTTATATCGTATTGTTGTCTGGGAAATTTTCGTCCTGGTTTCTAAATGAGGATTTTACAAAACGAATCTTTATTATTTTGATGTCGATATATCTTTAAACATTTACTCGGTATATATTTCATCTCGTTCAGGGAGTAATTTTAACTGCGTATATGTGTTAACGTCATGTAGATGGTGCTCTCTCCCCTCAAGTAATATTTTCGGTCAACCTGGAATGTATTTCATAGTCTAATCTGATATTTAAAGGGAAGCAAGTTCACTCGTATTTCTAATTGTTCCAGAGTCACATCTGCTTGCTTATACTAATTCGATATCTCAGGTTTCCTAGGAGTTGAGTGATATGTAGAATTTTAGTGAACTGACCATTATAGCAAGTATAAAAAATTTTTTTTCAAAAATAATTTGTTGACATATATCGCTTTCATCTGCATTGTACTATCCCATGTTCCTGAGCCTAATTATAAACCACATGGAAAAGAGTACCAATCAGTTTAATCACTGCTCATTAGGTCGTTCGCTACTTAGCAGTAGCTAGAAATTATGACTCGTTTTAAGTACATCATATATTCATAAATTTTAGCAATTGCTATGCTGTAAAATTAAGCAGAAACATTTATAGACTTAAAAGTGCATCAGTATCAAGTCGTTACTTAGACAGACAAACCATATTTTATTTACTTCTCGTAGCGAGTTTTTTTGTACCAATTAATTATTTGGCTGATTTTAAACTGTTCTGAGAAATCACTTGTCATTATGATATATATAGCCATATTTGATGTATTTGTACAGTAGATTTTCAGTCTTGTCATATGTAGTATTGGAAATAAAGTTGGGCTTAGACTAATTATCATTAGTTCATTGTTTTTTAAATCTAGTTGCTGTTTCCCTTTTATACTTCTGAATCCGTAGGTCATCGTTCATATTTACTCTGGCGTGAAAAAGTACCAGGTTACATTGAAAACCTCAGGGATGATCAGTTGTTTTCTAGTGCACAAATTTTAATCGTTGAAGTGGGAATTGTTAATAGTTAACATCAAAAGTTCAGTTCTTCACTTGTGGCTTTAAGCGATAGCTCAATGAACATTAACTTCCTGCAACTTTCTTTCCAGAAATTTATCATTTTAAAATAATTGTTAGTTTTTCTCTTTCGCTTAAAATACATCTTGTTTTTTTTTCATGGTTCTTAGTTCTCGATCCCGTGTTCGTGGTAATCTCCACTTGTATTTGGCTTACTTACCAAGCCATTTAAATCCCCAGATTACAAGTCTTCGTCAACTTCCTCCCCTTGTTGAATTGGTAAGTCATTTATAGATTTAAACAAACTTATTGGTATACTGTACTTTTAGCTTTTCATGAGTTCAGCGGTATTGTTTTCATCACTTGTTGCACTTTATATCGAATTAAACACGTTTTTTATTTTGATATTATTTTCGTTTGATTGTTGATGTATTTTATTAAATGTGTATATACCTAGTGATATTGGTACTACTTCTACTGCTCTGTCCTTTGTCTTGATAATTTTATTTCTCTGTGTTGATGTAGTGCATGGATTTGAATAAATGCACGTGTCAGGTTTTACGTTGCATATAACTGACTGTTACTAAAAACAAGTTTAGTATTAGTCAGAGTTAGCTATTTTCAGGCATAAAGTATTTAATTTGGTTCACATTTCATCTGTTTTGTACCAAACATTTGAGTTTATTACGTACTAATAATGTAGTTGATGAAATTATGTATCAGTCTTTATGCAATTACTAAGTCTTAGTTACTAATTTTTTCAAGTAATTTTGTCTAATATTCAGTTAAAGTTTAGGTAGGCTACTGTTATTCTATTTTTAGTACTTTTCGTGCTATCATTGGTACTTCTATTATTAAAACTCCTTCACTATTCATCTTTCTAACTCCACCTCTGTGTAGTGATATGGTGTGAGATTGTGTGTTGATTTGTGTCTGTACTAAGTCGTACGTTTGCTGTGACTTTCTGACCCCTGAATATTTAATTCGACTAACTGTCGAGATAATTTCTTTTGTCTGATAGCCTTATGATCGACATTAAGTAGTTCAACGAAATGCAGTTGTGAAAATTTATTTCGATTTCATACAATGTAAGTAGTCATATATTGATCTACAATAAGACAGAAATAAACCTTGGCCAAAGAAAAATTTGGTGGTACTAATTCGTTTCTCTATCCAGTTGTTTATGTAACTTCATGTCTTATCGTTTACCAGTAGCCTAGTTATACTTTCTATTTAATTATATTTTTTATGTGATCATTCAACTTGAAGTATTTTCGATTTGTTCCATCCGTTTAGCTGTGTGCTGCTAAAAAAAATAATCAACTCAGCAGGTACTTAGGTATGAACCATATTCTAAGTGTAAGTGCTAATGATACTATTTGGTTGCCGGAAACGAAGTAAAGCAAAGTTGGAACTTTTATTAGCTGAATGTCAAAAACTAACCACTAAGCCATCTCATCAGTAATGTTAGGTGGTTCATAGATAATCGCTCACTACTGAGCGAATACCAGAAAATCACGCAAATAGTCATTGATTTATCGTGTTGTACTAAAATGATACATCCTAACATACGTAAGATGAATATAGTCAAGAGTTATTGTACCAATTAAAAACCCTAAAAAATCTTTGTTGATATTTTAATTAGTTAGAGCTTTTGATTTAAATTTTGTTTTCATTTCAAACGGAAGAACGATTTAAAAGTATGAGGTAATAGATAACTGTGTCTTGTTATCTTTGTACCTCTTGGAATTGTAAAACTTCGGATTTATACATAATCAAACTTATGACTTTTTCAAGTATCTTGGAGAAAATATTTTCCATCGAAATCATTTACCAGACAAAGGTTTATACCCTCGATCTTAAGCCATACTGTTGTCTAAACACTAGTGATACTATTTGGCTATTCAAACGGATTTAAATGGCAGGGTGTTCAAAACTGTGACATATTAATGGCTGAGTTCAAGTGCTTCAGTGGCCTAGCCATCGATCTAGTGAGATAGATCTCAATTGCTTATTTTCCTGATATCATAGAATACTTTCTCATTTTGATGTGAGGAATTCCATCCACTATTGAGTACTAAACAGCCATTTATCAGATAAACCCTGTGGCTGTGTTGTAAATATAATGAGTGTGTTTTCCTCTATCTTAGTGTTCACAATAGTTATCGAATTTACTCATTTTTCGTCAGTAATGTAAAATCTTTTACCTAATCTAATAAGTGAAAATATTATATTTCAAGGCTGGTATAATGAGTAAGAATTAGGCCTAACGGTTAGGCTTTAGTTCATCGGATAACTGGTGACCCACAAAGCTTATCTTCAGTCACCTATGTCATCTAATCATGTTATTTTTCTGTTAATAATTTGTATATAAGCATATCACTTCATTATACGAACAATGAGTTCTTCTGACCAGTAGTCTTGTCTTTGATATTCATTTATTCGAGTGTTTGAGTCAGTATTGCGATCTTGTAACCAGCTATCACTCGGCTACATCGTATCATTGTGTTTATCTATCGATCCGCATTCATTTTATCAATTATAAACCTCGTTTTTTTTTACCAAAGCCTCCTTCATAATAAGTTGTTGTTTTGAAGAGAAAAACATCCCCTTTAAAATGACATTTTCATATCCTACTTCTTTTTTAAACTGTTTATAAATTAACTCATTTTTATTTAAAACCCATAATTAAGTGTTTACCCAACTTTGTTTATAGTCATCTGAACAACAACGTAATAGTGAAGGTCAATTATCCTCAACACCTGTATCTTCTTCACATCGTCCCAGTTTACCAGCACAGTCATCTAGTCCTGGTATTGCTGAATTATCTAACACTATAAACGATGATACTGATAACCGTGTACAACTTAGTAGAAATACTTCAATAGAATCAGATACTGTAAGTGTTACTGAGACTGTTGTTGGACCAATGCTTTCTACGTCACTTGATGAAAATTCACTTCCGCCAGGTTGGGATGAACGAGTTGATCAAAATGGACGGACATATTATATGGATCATGTTAACAAGCGTACACAATGGGATAGACCTTCTTTGTAAGCAATCTACTTCTGTTTATTTTTTCCATCTAACTAATTATTAGTTATTTTTGCACTAATTTGATTTAATTTTAATTTATAAGAATATTAAACATTGGGAAATGAAAAGCTTTCACGTAATGAGCTTATTTACTAGTTAGGAATTCATGTACGTGACTTGGAGCCGCGCTTTAATTGTAAGAGCCAGTGATGCTACCCAGTTACTAGTAAGAGAGTAGGTGGAGCGGAGTTCGAACCTGTAACTGTAAGTCAAAAGTTTTAATCTCTGAATCAACGTTCCAGCCTTCATAGAATTCCTTTCTCTGTAGTTATGTCTTATCGATTTGGCCTGTTCAGGTGGAAGATATTTAGTCTGCATATTCATACATCGGTACACTTTCTTTATAAAACATATTGAGTTCAGTGTCATTTAAGATGTTTTTACTTTAAAACTGCAACAGATACTATTACTATTATCACTTCCTCACATTAACTTGATGTTGAATAACATATTAATCCCAAACCACTGTGGGTCAACCAATATATATATATATATATATATATATATATATATATATATATCAACTTCAATAAGTTTATCTTAAATTCGCTGAAGAATTTCCGTCATATTAGAACACAGATATATTTTTGCTTACTTACGCCTGTTACCCCCAATAGAGCAGAGGCTGCCGACCAGCATTCTCCAACGTGCTCTGTCCTGGGCCTTCCTTTCTAGTTCTGTCCAATTGTTGTTCATTGTTCTCATGTCTGTCTCTAATGTGTTCTTTGGTCTTCCTCTTCTCCTTTGACCTTGAGGATTTCAAGTGATGAGAACTTGCCTTGTGAAAACATTTATGAACGAATAATGTTTTTAATAAATTCTCTCCAGATTTTACAATTATATATCCAAAGAATTTATCAGGTTTAAGGCAAAATACATCGTTTAAGTAATCATCAAATCGTTAATTTTGGGATCATTAATATCAAGTGTTGGCTTGGAATAAGTTTATATGTCAAGTGAATTTGTGAGATAAATATGGTTAACATGAGGTGAGAGAGATAATAATACAATTACAAATCAGAAATCACGTAATATGTAGAATAAACGTGAGTTATGTATGAATAAGTAAATAGAGGTAGATGCTGAATAAATTTCTCATGTGTTATAGTAATAATAATGATATGGTTGAGTAAGATAAGTTTAAGCTATGAAAATGAATATGAACCGAATTATGTCAACAAATCACAAGAGTGATTATTAATTAATTAGGCCAGAAGTTGGTCAAGATTAAAGAAGTAGTTAAACAAGTCAATTGATTTGTGTGTAGGTTGTGATATTGCCCGGGTGCCCAGACCGAAACAGGTCATTTTTTAGGGGGTCACACCCGGAGCCTTTGATATAAAGGTCTAATCCACAAGGCAGTGGAGCGACGTAATGAGATGCAGTCCCATGGCAGCCGATGACCAACGATTAGTTCATACGCCCTTTGTTCCCTCAGGATCCTGGAGCCCATGTGCAGAATTGGTTTGGAATGATGGTTTTCCAACTACCCTAGCCGAATCCTCCGTATCTACCAACCAGGCTAAAGCACCGGACATTCGCTTTCCGTCCTCCCAATTTCGTAAACAACACCTCTGACGCGAGAAATTAGTGTATAGGACTTTCGTGGCAGTGGTCGTGGCCACTTGAGAGCATTTAGAAAGGCGAGCTGACAAAATGATGTAACACTGGAAGTCAAGTGTATAAACTATGAATAATGTAGTTTAATGATTAACTGATTAATTGATATTTAAGTTTCATTAATTATGTTTTTTATAAATAATTACTTTGTTTTCACAATTGGTTATATATATATATATATATATATATATATATATATATATATATATATATATATATATATATATATATAATGTAATATAGTCAATTACCACATGGATGGGAGCAACGAACTGATGCAAATGGTCGTGTTTATTATGTTGATCATCAAAATCATAGAACTACTTGGTATCATCCTTTATCTGAGGTAATAATTTTCATATTATATGTTTGTATTCGTGTACAATCAAAATTATTCATTATCATAATTTCAATATTTAATACTTTACTGATTTTCTTCCCTTATATACAAAATGTTGCTTTAGAACTGGTCTCTCTCAACTAGTGATAAGTGATGTAGTTAAGCATGTATAACATTTTACTTATCTTAGAAGTTTCATGAGCCTTAGTGAGTTGGTTTCTGACAAAATATCGGCATGAATTCTGAAGGTCCTGTTGGTATTTGCTAATTTGCTTCATGGCAGGATATCTGTCTGCCAATTAGAAGACGAGGTCACTGTGTAACATATCTTTGTTCTACTTTGCGTCTGTGAAACGTGACCTTTACAAACAGGATATTCTTAGGTTACTAGTATTCAATCATACGTGTCTTTAGACCGTTGCTTGTGTATTTTGGGACGGTCGAGTAAGAGATTCTTAGGTTAGACCCAGATTACTTTGGTAGACATGACAAATCGTTTGACGAGGTAGTGATGACGGCCGGAGTAGGACTAGATTGGAAGAAAGCTAGGAACGGCTAAACCAAGGCGTAGTATCAGTCTATGAAGAGATTGACCATTAGGCTGAGTTATATAAGTAGGTCCAGACCACTTGTTTGGAATCCGTTTGATTATCACAACCGCTACCTACAAAAATGGTATAAAGACGGTTGTTTGTTGACTCGTGGTTTAAGTTCATGCTATCTGGTTAAATGCTTCTAGCTGAGTAAAATATCAAATGTGATTAATCACATTGTGTGTATGTCAGACTACACTCTCAGCTTTACTAAACGCGTTTTAGTGCCCCTTTTTAAATATAAAAATTCACTATTTCTAATTTGACACCTATAATTTATTGAACGCACTAAGTTTTTGAGAGTGTTTTACAAATATCATATCAGAAACTGGTGAATAACTTGTTGATGTCTGGTGGTTATATTCACATCAGAGTTTGTTTGCGTATATGTGTTAAACTAACTACTAGTTACCCGTTTTCGAGAATAACTTATCGGCTTTAGATGATAGCTATTTGTGAGACTGATTTGTATTTATCAAACATTCATAAACATGTGTACACGTGTGATTTTATTCTGTTTTTTTTGTCCCCTTCGAATTTTTTTGCTTACCATGTATAAAAGGGATCTCGATCGCAGACATCACCTCAACACTCTACTGCTGCTAGTCCTGTTACATTCAACGATGCGATCGAACCATCAAGTGAGGGTAGGTATAGTAATAATAATAACAATAATCGTATCGATCATTATTGTCGCTATTATTTTGACCTTTTTTTAATCGTCAAATATGTTGAGGGGAGAAAGAACGCATGAATTTTGAAGCAATCACGCATAAATTTATGTTTAAAATCAGTTAGTCAGTCATGTGCAACGTGGCAGCTGACATATCTCCATCGGTTCAAGTTATCAGACCATATTAGTAAAATTATTTCAAGACAAATTTCAAAGTGTTGATTTTCACCCTGAGACTCGGTTCCAGTACCTTTTTCTTTAAACACCAACGCTTTATTCACTTGACCATTAAATCCAATTAACGTATTGGGCATTTAAAACGAAAGGCGCTAGGATCGAGTTCCGGACCGAACATTAGCACTCGATCGCAGGGACATGAAGCCGATGCTTCCGGAATAAGACTAAATGCGTGTCCTGGATTTTACCGGCAGCCAATATCCAACTCTGTCTAAAAATCCATAAAGTTTGTTTCTGCTAGCTTGTGTACCAATGTTTTCATGCCGTCAGGTACAACATACTCTACTTGGCATTGTTTTGCAAAGTAGATTTTCGTTTTCGATATAGAAACGACAAACGAATTCTGATCTATATAGTTAATTTATATTTCCAGGTTGAATTTATTTATTTTAACACATAGATATTGGTACAAGAAGGCACCAAATACATATGCGCCACACAAATCTCATTCAATATGTGTGAGGGCTGTGATACTGCCCGGGTGCCCAGACCGAAGCAGGTGGTTTTCTCAGGGGGTCACTCCCCGAGCCTTCGACCTGAAGGTCTGATCCACAAGGCAGTGGAACAACGTAAGGAGATGCAGTCCCATGATAGCCGGTGACCAACGGTTGGTTCATACGCCATTTGTTCCCGCAGGATACTGGAGCCCATGTGCAGAATTGGTTTGGAATGAGGGTTTTCCAACTTCCCTAGGTGAAATCTTCATGTCCACCAACTTGGTTAAAGAACATGCCATTCGCTTTTCGTTCTTTTAATTCCGTAAACATTACCCGTGGTCCGATAAGGCAGTGAGCAGGACTTCCCTGGTAGAGGCCATATACGTGTGGCCATGTGAGAGCAGTTCTAGAAGGGGGGCGGACTATCCCCACTCTCGGCCGTATCAGGGCATTCAGGGGCTTCCAGGTTGAATAGATGACCGACAAAGAACCTGAGGTTTAACTTTCTTTCTACATATAGTTTAACACTTGTTAACAACGTGTATCATTTATTCAGTTTTAAACGAGAGAATGAAGTGAGCAATGTACACTGCTTTGTCAAGTACCAAACAAGCAATCAGGTATAGAATCTCCAAATTTTGTTACAGATTCTCACGATGAGAAGTTAAATAACTCCAGTGTCTTACTTGGGGAACTAGTTCAAGCTTTTTTTCAGGGAAATTATCAAAAAATGTCCTGTTTATTTCCCTGAATAAGAAATATGATCAAAATTCTTCCCATCATGTTTAAAATTAAGAACATTTTCATTTTATATTCCTGTAACATTAATACAAAAGGGAATACTCGATAAAAAAAAGCATAAAGATATACGTACAATATATGTACATTCTATCCAAAGAAAGATATAATATTATTGAACTGAAATAATAATAATAGTAGTAAGGCTCATTCTTAAAATGTCTAGTGATGAGTTAGTGGATTCTCATCAACTGAGATTGTTAGGACACGTTTTACGTATGATTATGAATTGACTACCCTGATGAGCGATGATGGCTAGTGTAGAATTAGATTGAAAGAAAGCTAGGAGCGACTAATCCAAGATATTGTTTATTAGATTGAATTATGTGAGTAGGTGCAGACCACTTGTTTGGAGTCCGTTTGGTTGTAGTAATCAGTGGTTAGAGACTTTGGTCGAGATTTCTCAGAATCGTTCGCAATGGTACAGGTCTATTCCTTTGTTTTCTTTTAAATCGTAAGTTTATAAATTTCTTATAAATTTTTTTCTAATTATTTCAATAACTTATATTTTCTCGAATTGTGTCTTCAATGTCCAATCCTTTCTGTTGCCACTGATACCATGACTATCTCTACTACTCTGTGATTTGGCTTAACAATTAGATCTCTGTGTACTAATAGTATATTGGGATTTGAACCAATGTAAATACTTACCAAGTTTTACGTTGCATCTGACTAACACCATGAAAGGGTATGTTTCATATGAATCCAATGGGTATAATCGAAATGATTATCATCGTATATAGCGTGGTATTGTCTTTTTTTCCGCAAATTGATCATCGCGTCTATCATTTCCCTCTCATTTTTGCCAATAATTCCGTAGAAGGAGAACTGGGGATAGTTAATGATGAAGGTGATGAGACAGAAAGTAATTTTCACGTTGAATTTGATCCACCGATTTGTCCAACTGATGAAAATCAAGAAAATCAATCACCTGATGAACAATCTGTATTAAATGAAAGAATCACTAATTCTAGGTCTCAATTACCTACTGGCGTTGGCGTCAATGGCAGTGGTGATGGTAGATCCGCACGTTCTAATCCTCGTCATACACGACGTAGTTTGACGATATCCGAGAGATTACGTGCAAAAGGTAGTAGTGGTATTACGTCGTCGGTGGCGGGGGTGGCAGCTCGTTCAAATAATAATATTCAAAACGGCATCGATGATGTACGTGCTGCGCAGACAATGTATTTACGACGTAGGCAAGTTAGCTTTGAAGATACTCTATCTCATCTTCCAGTCAGTTTGGATACCGTAAGTCATTTATAATTATGACAAAAACGTTCATGGAATTTTCTTAAAGATGTAATTTTTTTTATCCAATGCAAGTTCCTGGGATTCATCCTTGAGAGACACTTATAGTGAGGCTAACATTTATGGATAACCTTTGAACGATGCTTAAGTGACCTTGGGGATGCCTACCTACTTACTAGAGTTAAAGGAAGGCTATAAATCAGCGTGTGGAATTAAGATTAGGATTTACATTAGGACGTCAGGGTTAGGATTTTCATCACGAACTGACATAAGCTACAGTGACAAAATGCTATTTAGCTATATGGACGAGTGAACAGCTCGCCAAAATCCAAGACCTGCTATCTTAAATCTGATTAGTTTGTCCACAAACTATAGTCTCGCCATTGAACCGGTTTTTAACCCACACTATTTAGTCATACTATATTAAAGATTCTAACACAAAGACCACAATAAAAAATGCCCCACACACAATGACGTAATAGTACATAGTTACAAAAACTAAGAAATGAGATGTTTGCTTCAATGGGTGAAAATATTATTCGTTTCAAGCAATAATAGTCTTCAGTTGTTGGAATTGTTGAGTTTTATTGAGGTCACAACTATTATGAACCTGGAGACACTTGATAGCTGTTTATTTCCTAGTGTGGGACTCCTCAGAAGTGAACATCCACGACCCAAAAACTGTCAGTCGAACCCAAGATGTGCGGTTTCGTGCACGAACACTTAACCACTAGATCAATGAGCCGGCATTCAATAAAATTCAACTATTTGCTGAGCGCTATACTAATAATTATCATGTACTCACTAGTGGCCAGCTTCGAAAGCTTCTGGAGTCCTAATTGAAAAAAGCCGTGACTAGTGGAGTTCAACAGTGTCAGGTTTGGTGAAAGATGGTTGCACAATATCATGGATTGATGTAAGTTAGACTTGTACACCATTGAATGCCAGCCCAGTGGTTTAGAGATTAAGCGTTTGCACACGAGACCGAACGTCTTGTGTCCGATTACCGGTTGAGTGATCGCGGGTGTTCAGTATTGAGGAGACTCATATTAGGACAAACCGACTGTCTAGTGCTTCCAGGTTTTTAACGATTGTCTTACTTAGTTCGGTTTATAATTCCAATAAAATAATAGTTCACTTAATAATACAACAAAGATAAATTCCTTTCAGTTAATGAAGTTCATTTTACCTTACATAGTATATTATATAGTGGATGGCGAACAGTAGAATACAGGATATTCATCTGGTTTTATTTAAAATCAGTCAAATAATGAGATGTTGTATCACCTATCTCACAGTGTTCATATACCTACTTAGACTTGAAACCTAATACATATAATACTTCAAACACTACCAGCGCGTTATTTATTAGATTTCTGAGTCATAGTAGTCGCCGCTTCTTGATATTTAAAACTAAATTTGTCTACCTTCCTCTCTTTGAAAATCCATTGTTTGGGGATTATTGTTGAAGAATACTATTCCTATTAAAATGAACATGATCGTTCGTTATTAACAATTACCGTAAGATAAAACGAATTAGATTACAAGATATACAACGGTCTTTATACTTCTATTTATTTATTTAATATACATAAGTAATCAAGTACAACTGGGCACCAAAATAAATGCGTACCACAGAAATAAGAAAATATGATTGTGAACAGATGGAGATAGAAGTATAATAAAGAAAAACAGATCGATGAATAAAATTATGTAAACGAGATTAATATGCAATTGAAGTAGTTCAGTAGAGTGAGTTCCTTTTCATGTTTATGTAGAATGTAAATGAAAGCTACACCACGATCGCCTTTGGCTTCTGTTCTGACTCATGTCTGATAACGGCTTAAACCATCAAGTTCCACTGTCTCTAGGATCCCAACCAGGGAGTCACGATAAAATGACAAATGCCAGTCCTACATAGCTTTCTTTCATACCACAGTACTATGTCATAAACTGACCACCTCTCCGTTTTTCTCATCCCTCCTCCCAAGATCGACAATCAATCCAAGATATGGCATTCGCTGAGATGATATTCATCTTTGTAAAGAGACCCACTCATTATTCCCGTCTTTCTCGTAGGGATTGTCAGTCGCAGTTAAAATTTAAAATTTCTATTTTATTCATTCTATGAATAAGATACAAAATAATGACAAGTGTATTTATTCATTTGTTTCCAATTTAAACACTGCCTATTATATAAATTCTGACCGACCATTTATAACACCATGTGTACAGAGCGATCATTTTGCTAAATATGTACATACTCCCTCACATACACACAACAGATCAATCACATGATCGTAAACCCATTGTATAATTCGTATCTCGTTCTTCCAATATTGATCGGAATCAATCGATTGCGAGGTCATCGAGCTAAATGATACGAATTGATTGTGATCGGATTTAAACATTCAACTTACGTGTGTATACGAGAACACTAACTGTTAAAGATAATTCCACTATGTTCGTAGCTTCTGGTAATTCAGTAATTGACTGATATTAAATTACGACGTTCTACGGGCTTATTTACTTGGCTATGATACACACATTTGATCAAATGGAAGCCGGTAGGGTAGGGGCAGTGTTGGAACCGCTAAGGCCTGATGAACGAAAGCTGAATGCCTAAACCACTGAGCGAACTACCGTCCTACAATACATGTTCATGTAATAGGCTTCAAATTATTTATTTTGTAATGAGAACTAAGTAAGTACCCAACTGCTTATATATATTAAATGAGGTTAGGTGAGTTGAAAAAATTGACGACTGTGTAAACTACAAACATTTATCAGTAACCATACATATATTCTCCCATCCGACTACAAATATCGAAGTAGATGGAAAGGGTTTCGAATTTGCAACTACTTGTCAGGATTGAAAGTTGGTTGCGTTAGCTATCAAAAGTCAGCGTCATAGATCCTCCTCATTAGAAGCTTCAGATTTGTACTACTTTACTATTTTTACTAATCAATATCACTTGTAGTTTAGCAGTTCTCAGCACTGGTCAATTTTGATTGGTCGAATTTTTCGATGTAATAGATACGGTTCAATTTACGAAGCCGGTTGTTTCCTTTTGCACATACTTCTCTACTTCTGTGACTCAGTAATCGATTTATTAAATCTAATATTGTCTATACATCCATTTTCATACTGCTACGGTTCATGGGATTCTTCTATCACATAGTCTTGACCATCCTACACTTTTTCTTATTCTGACCTCTTTCTAGGTGAAGAATGGAACCAATTTGTTTTTAGCGATTCACCTAGTCCACTTAATTTATCCGTATTACTTAAATAAATCTGCAGGTGAAGAAAAACATTTTTTTTCTATAAACTTCACCCAGATTCACAATCTCTGCGATATATGGGCTGCTGCATATCTCAGTGGTCACATCTGAGATTGGAATGCTAGGTGTGATACAGGTGCATTAGTTCTTTCAAGATTCTTGGTGTACTTGATTGATGAATGCAAAGTAGTGCGAAACCTCTGTTCTAGAGTTTCTTACTGACAAACCCAACTATCTAATATTTGTGCATCTAAGCAACTGAAGTGATATTTATTTAAATATGAAATTCACTCTTCATATGAGAAAAAAAGTTCACACTTTGTCCTATCCCAATAGATTTTTATATAATTGAAACAGTTTTCTTTGTTTACCGAAAAAAAGGTGGGACAGTAAACGCAAAAAATAAGATTTTTCTCCCTCTTTTTCTCGCCTATTTCTTTTTTATGATCTTATTCACAGATGTCTATGAAATTGTTCTCTTTTCTAGTAAAGTTCCTTCAATGTTCTTTATTAATGTTTAATCCTTTTCATTGTGAACTTCAATAGTAATTTCTAGGGTTATTCACTTATATTTCTACAAATAATTTGTAGATTAAAATAACGTGATATAAGATAGTTCATAATCAATGGTTTATTAGTGGTTAGAAGGTCCAACTTTCAGTTATAAAATCTTTGGTTAGAACCTCTTGCTCTGTCTACTTCAGTCTAGGTGATCGGTTAGTATTATTAGCCTTCAAACACTTAGAGTGTGGTTCATACCCAAGTACCTGGTGAATAATTTAATTACAAATTATAAATTCTATTATGTGATAAGAAGAATATACGAGATTATTGAAATACTTCATTGTTATATAATCGATAGAATATGACTAGCAGTGGGAATCAGGATGCACTTTTTTTTCTTGCTTGGGAGTCATCACCCAATGCGTGTCCTAGATTCCACCGCTAGCCACACTTCATCTATTCTATATCGGTTTGTGTTATATTGGATATATCGAGGCAATCTACACATGATCTATCTATTTACTCAAAATGAGGTTTGATAATTTTTTAAATTAAACTAAGTACTCTTGAGTCAATGATTGTTGTATATATTTTAATGGTATTTTGTTGTCTGAACTTTCATTAACGTTCTGGAAATCAAATCCTCAGTCATCGGAAACACCCAATTATGATGGAAATCTCTATCAATTCCAAATTATTGTATATGATTCTACCAATAGGAATAGTTTTCAAGTTAAATATCGATATGCTAATCATATTCAATTATAATCAACATAAAACCTGGTACAAATGTCCACTAGACCTAGTTTCCATTATCCTATTAACACGATGAGTTGAAATTAACAAAATGGATAACTTATACTAACGATAGAGACTATATCCTTATATGCAATCTTTCTTTTAGATATTACCACCACTGAATTAACTACTTTTATGAATCCGGTGTTCATCTTGTTGTGTTAATGAGGTATGGCAACTTGGACCGATGCACATATGTGCCTGGTCTTACGTTGTAGCTGACTGACTGAACAGTGAAAATACGGCTCGAAAAGATGAAATCAAGACAAGGGTATAAAATTATGCTTGGAATTAATATATAGAGGAAGTTAGAGAATGAATTTATCAATGTCGTTGTGGCCGATTCTGAACTTTATTATCTAACATCTCCAATCATTGGTTACAATAGTTGATTAAATCCCAACTAGGTAGTCTACCTACCAATATGAATCAATCCAACAGTCAATAACGTCATGGATTAATCACACCTCTTGATCTGGGGGTTGTTATCTTTCTACAAACCTACTTCTACTCCAATAAATATCACCTATCAAGGTAGTCGGTGGTTAAGTAATATGTCCTAAGTACTTTATTCGATAGAGATTTACAAACAAATCAATCAATTTGCCATCGATACATGAATAGTTTTAAATATATATAGAGTCTAAAGTTAGGAATTAATTTATATATATATATTGGTCCACCAGGGTACTTGGTACCTGTGTGGTTGCGCCACAGGATTGAGCTGTACTATTTAGATTGTAGCGTTAAAGTCTATACGGTGTCTGGTTCTACTGTGAAACGGGATTAAGCTGTACTACTCGGTTTATAAAATTTAAGCCTGGGCAGTGTCTGGCTCTCCTGTTAAGCGGGATTGAACTGTACTGTTTGGGTTGTCACGTGAAAGTCTGGATGGTGTCTGGTTCTCCTGAAAACCAATGTAAAATTATCCTGGCCCACAATCGTATATTTTATATATATAAAACTTGGTTAGTTTCCAGTGTTTTACAACCTGTTAAATTACATATACAAAAGATAGAGTATAATACACAAATTATCACATGTTCACTGTTTATATTATTATTATTACTAAGAGGAGAAATTTCGATTTTTTCTTCTTTCTTCTATGTTCATGCAAGTTTATAGTGTGTGTGTGTGTGTGTGTGTGTGAATGTGTATACACCCAGGCATATTTTTTTTAAAAAATATCCTTCTTTTCTTAGTATCCAACTTAATTTATCAGTCTGATAAAAGTGTATATTTATTATATAAAGGTAATTGCATATTATTACATCATTTTTTTCTTTTACAGACTGTTATTATTACTTTTGTGTGTCTGTTTTTTGTTGTTGCATATTGAACTGAGGATGATTTCAATACTGATTAGTTTTATAATAGAGGAGAGAATATACAAATTTGTATCATATCTCTTATTCAACAGTATATATACATATAATTACTTACTTTACTTACGCCTGTTACTCTTAATGAAGCATAGGCTGCCGATCAGCATTCTCCTCCAACCCACTCTGTCCTGAGCCTTCTTTTCTAGTTCTATCCAATTGTTGTTCATTTTACTCATGTCTATTTCCATTTCCCGGTGTATTGTGCTCTTTGGTCTTCCTCTTCTCCTTTGGCCTTGAGGATTCCATGTGAGGGTGCTTTCCTCAATGTGTATCCTATCCACTTTTAACGCTTCTTCCTGATTTCTTTCACCGCTGGGATCTGGTTTGTTCTTTCCCACAGTAGGTTGTTGCTAATAGTGTCTGACCATATATATAATGCTTATAATCAATTATGTTTATTATAAGAAAAAGAAAATCAATTTTTATTACCTTTTGAACTTATTACTTATTCTTCAAACGTTTATCTATAAATATTTTATCATTCTAATAGTCCTTAAGTTTTTTTGCTCAGTTGTTAAACAATTCAGTTTTTTATTCAATTGGTATGTATTTATTTTTCATGAACATATAAATATTGGTACAAATAAGCATCGAATCACATATGTGCTACACAAGTCACATGATTTGTGTGTAGGTTATGATACTACCCAGATGCCCAAACCGAAGCAGGTGGTTTTCTTAGGAGGCCACACCTTAAACCTTCGACGAAAAAGTCTAATTCACAAGACAGTGGAGCGATGTCAGGAGATGCAATCCCATGGTAACCGGTGACCAACAGTAGGTTCATACTTCAATTATTCCTTCAGGATCCTGTAGCCTATGTGCACCATTGATTTGGAATGAGGGTTTTCCAACTCCCCTAGGTGGACTCCATATCCACAAACCCGGTTAAAGCAACGGACATTCGCTTTTCATCCTGTCCATTCCTTAAGCAACACCCCCTTTGCGAGAAGTCAATGAGTAGGATTTCCCTGTCAGTGGCTGTATATATGTGGCCATCTGAGAGCATTTGTAGAGGGAGAGCTAACTCTCCCCACCCTCAGCTGTACCAGTTCATTTGAGAGTGTGTATGTTGGTGATCATTTGTTCCAACCTTTCTCCACATACCTTTGGTTAATTTAGTCAGTTATAAAGTGAATCTTGTATGTATGTACATCGGTTGAAGCTCCAATACCTCGTTAACACAAAGAATAATTAAGGTAGTAACAGCATCAGTGGTGGTAGAGAAGACCAAGTATTCAAGGTACTATCAAAAAATATAAATTAGTGAAATAAAACAGAAAATAGTTATGAGAAATTCAAAAGCTCAGAATTTGGGGAAAGTCAAAGAATGGATTCATCTGCACCATTCAGAATGATTTTGAACCATGTCTTTCATGGTCTCTAACCTATGGTTATGATAATCATGCGGATCCCAACCAGGTGATAATCTATATCTATTAACATGGCTTAATTCGATTGTCGATGACTTAATGGACTGATGCCATGTCTTGGTTTGGCTGCCCATAGCTTTCTTCTAGCCTACTCCTGCACCAGACAACATCGCTCATCGAGGTAGGCGGTGGATAGAGATACGTAACACGCGTCTCAAGCGCCTCGGTTATCGGAGATTTACTATCTCATAAATAGATTTGTCATTCTTACCTTGTAACGTATTCCTAATTCAGTCATTTCTTACTCTGTAGTCCCAAAATACACTAGCAATGCTTAAAAAACGAGTGTGATGCCAGTAACCTAAAAATGTGTTGTTCTTACTAGCCATGTTTCATGCCCATAAAGTAGAACGGTGCAAACCGTACGCAGTAAACTTTCCCTTGTATCGGAAGACAGATAACGTGCCCACGCCACAAGTGAAGTAAGTTGTCAAGTGCCAATCGAGCCTTCTTAGTCCTTGCCGTTATTTCATCAGTGATGACAAGAATCTAAAAACGAGTAAAGCGTTTGATGCGTCCAACTACTTCACTCGTTATCATTAATTAATGCAATGACACAAGCCAATTCTGAAGTAACATTTCGCATTCAGAGGAAATTAAATTTACTACCTATCTCTTTTTATATATTGTTTTTTGTTAAATCTCGACGAAAACAGTTATGGTTATTGGGTTTTCGGTTGACGTACGGTAAATCCTATTTACAAACTATTGAGCATTCTCCGTCTGGGAACTTTAAAGACTGGATATTTGTTAGACATCAATACTTTAGTAATTCACACGCTAATATGATATAGAGAAGACGGTGGTTTCGGGATTACTTTGAATTCTGTACAGAAGTTAAGAAAGTTGGAAAGGAACAACTCTGTCGTTTATATTAGTATACAATGACCTTGGAGCGATCAAATAACAGTGAATGTTATGCAAAAATATGAATTAAAAGATTGTTATCATCCTAAACTGATACATAGTAGCACTAGGCTAGATAACTTGATCTCTTCTTAGCACAAAATCGTTTCTTAAGCTAAAAGGATAAAGCCGAAGTAAACTGTCAAACAATCTAGAGACCTTACCCTATGAAGCCGATCATGAGATATATGATACTTAGACTAGAAAATGCCTTTTACAAACCTGACATCATAGCTGATGTTATTTCGTAGTGAGAATTTTAATTCGATAACCTGATTCCTATTTCCATCACTTCTTTTTTGCCAATTGTACCATGACCTTAAAGTGGTGTACACCTCCATCATTGACTCGGCGGTATATTATCACCGCATATATTTTGCTTTGTATTATATATATCACTTCTATATGTATATATGTTAGTAAAAACCCTACCTTTTTTTATTTCTTTTCCCTCTTCATAAAATAATGTTCCTATTTGAATGTTGAATATATCTTCAGCCTCTGCCAAATGGTAAGTAATAGAACTTTACTGTTGTTTAATGATTATTAAATGTATAGTATCTTGGATTTTATAGTGTTTCTCTGTTCATTTAATGGGTAAGAGTTTTATTGTCTCCTGTGAACATGTCAGTACAGTCTATTTCAACATGTCAGAGGATAAAATCGAATGAAATTGAATTTAGAACTTGGAATGAAATCCTCAATGAAAATTACACTTGTACAGTACAGTACTCATTCATTAAATAAACGAGAAAATGCCAGAAAATCTTTGATACTCGATGTATCTTGAATATTGACAAATGTGGATACATAATCTTTTTGTTGTTGTTGTTGTTTCTTATCACACCATGTTGTTTTCGACATTATTTGTTTTAAATAACCATTGAATGGTTTTGTCTTTGTGTGTATGTTTATGTTCGGATGTGAAAGTTATTCATCATTTAAAAAAGAGCACAAGTCCATGAAGTCACTGACAAGTGGACTGAGTCATGTCGGTAGGTGTAGACTACCTGGTTGGGGACCGCGAGATGATAGCAACCGATGATTTGAGACCCTGAATGACATGGCTCAAAATCGTTTGCAATGGCGCAGGTGCATCCACTCTTTGTGTTCTTCCAAATTTTGATCTTCTTATTCCTCCTTGTCTCTTTCTTTTCTCTTCCCAAATTTATTTCACTGTATTATACTCTTTAAATAACATCTCCAACCACTAATTTTCCTGATTACTGCTTATACTCTTATTACCTCTACCACTACGGGATTTGAATCAACCACTGCATCTCTGTGCTAATGTGGTGTGGCAACTCGAACTGATGTACGTAAATACGAAGTTCTACGTTGTTACTGACTGACTGAAAAAAGAGTACATATCTGTTTTTATCAAATTTATCTATTTGAAGTTTGTGTTGATGATGTCGTTCAGAAGAACGATCAAAACTCCACGACCGAAACTATCCAGCTCAGAGAGCAAAACTCTATCATAATGTATCTATGCTTAAGAGTCATATGTTTTTCTTATACATATATACTCATTCTGTTTTGAGTTCTAATATTCCTTCATACATATCACTTCATTTAACCTTATCGAACCATATTCTTAGCGCTTAGCCTTTCTTATTGTTATTGTTAATGCATTATTTTGACTTTTTATTTATTCATCTTTTTCATTTCATCTCGTCGTTCTAATGTGTTATGGCAACTGATGGCTAATGCACATATGTTTCTACGTTGATTATGACTGACTAATTGACTAACTTTTCAAGCCTGTTTACTATTCCAGTAAGGAATAGTAACTAGTATTATGTAATTATTTTTAACTTAATAGGTTGTCATACTTACTTACTACTCACACCTGTTGCCCCTCATAAAGGAGCATAGGCCGCCCACTAGCATTCTCCATCCAACTCCGTCCTGGGTAATCCTTTCCGGTTGTTTCCAGTTACTATTCATCCTTTTGATATCTGCTTCCTATTCCCAACGCAGTTTGTTCTTTGATCTTTCTCTCTTCCTTTTCCCTTCAGAATTCCACGTTAGCACTTGCTTCGTGATACAGTTTGATGATTTCCTCAATATGTCCCATTCACTTCCATTGTCTTTTCCTAATTTCCTCTTCGACTAGAATCGGGTTTGTTCTCTCCCACAGTAGGCTGTTGCTGATCGTATCCGGTCAACGGATATTGAGTATCTTGTGTAGACAATTGTTTATAAATACTTGTACCTTTTTGATGATGGTTGTAGTAGTTCTCTAAGTCAGTTGTCATAAGTCTTCCTTTATTCTACATTCAATCTAATCCTGGCTTATGATATGCGTAATATATAAGAACATATATAACAAATATAAGTGTATAGCTTTTATGAATAAGTCATCGAGTCAAGTAAATTCAGTTGCATCATGAATTAACTAATGAGCTGAATAAACAAAAATAATAAGGCATATTGGCGTGGGGGGGGGTAAATTCTTTTCATTCTATTGTGTTGGTATTAGTGATTATTTTACATATACTTTCAAATTATTCTGTAAAACTTGTTGAGTTACCTATAGCAATTGTTTGTATGACTTACAACTTACTGTTATTAGCTTGGAAATTGAGAAGAATAGAATTATTGAGTAAGTCTGCCAATGCATCTATAAATACATACATATGTTTCTATTTACCAATAGTAAAGTTACCTTATTTCGCTTTGTATTATTCCTTTCATTCTTCTTTCCTCTCTTTTACTAGTCTTTTTGGGTCGTCATTTATGTATATTAATTTTAATAGCTGAGATCATGAGTCAATTGAAGCTAGACCACCATGGAAAACCTGAAAGCACTCGACGGCCGTTTAGTCTTATTGTGGGACTCTTCAGAAGTGCACATCCACGACCCCGCCTCGTAAGATTCGAACCCAGGACTTATCAGTCTCGCGCGAGAGCGCCTAACTACTAGAACACTGAGCCGGCATCAAACGGTGTTAATGTCTAACATCAACTAATCCACGAAATTGAGCGACACATCCACCCTTTTCATCAGTGAGCTACTATCTCACAACAGACGCGGTTGAACTCCACTAGTCACTACTTCTCAGTAGAACTCCATGATATACTTCTTGAAGCCAGTCACTAGTGAGCTTCAATTGACTCATCATTTCAAATATTAAAATTACTATAATATCCACAAAACCCCTTTTGATATATATATATATATATATATATATATATATATATATATATATATATATATATATATATCTGCCTCTCTCTTTAATTGCTCTAAGCGAGATGTTTGCTATTGTAGGAATTGACTAGAAAATTAACTAGGAATGGCCAAACTAAGTTATGAAATCCATTCATGAAGTCATTGTTTATCAAACTAGAACGTATAAACATATGTAGACTATTTGAATGGAGTCCGTAAGATTATCATGGACATTAGTTGAAGATATCTAGAATGACTTATAATTGGTCGCAATGGGACAGATGTATTCAGTCTCTATCTTAAACTACGTATACTTTTTGCTCTCCAAATTCATTTTTTGTTTTCTTGAATCATATTGTTTATGTTTACTTTTTTCTACTCTCTTTAATAATGTTGCTATCTCTATCTGCCATAGTATAAAACAAATACTTCCATTTCACCCGTCTTCTTATTTGTTTACACCATAAGAATTTAACTCAATGGTCTAAAAATTAAACAAAATGCTAAAGGTATATCCAGGAGTTCTACTGAGAAGCAGTGACTAGTGGAGTTCAACCGCGTCTGTTGTGAGATAGTAGCTCACTGATGACAAGGGTGGATGTGTCGCTCAATTTCGTGGATTAGTTGAAGTTAGACATTAACACCGTTTGATGCCGGCTCAGTGTTCTAGTAGTTAGGCGCTCTCGCGCGAGACTGATAAGTCCTGGGTTCGAATCTTACGAGGCGGGGTCGTGGATGTGCACTTCTGAAGAGTCCCACTATAAGACTAAACGGCCGTCGAGTGCTTTCAGGTTTTCCATGGTGGTCTAGCTTCAATTGACTCATAATCTCAACCATTTAAAAAAATTACTATAATATCCACTAAACGTCTTCTCATAATAAAATGCTATTCAACAATCATATCGATTTTTTTGCTATCATCCAATCTAATCATTACATGGTAGGATAAATGTTTATTGAGGATAATATATACAATATATATTAAGCAGTATAATGAGTTTAATCATTATTGTAACTTAATCGATAGAATTTGATCTGTAACACAAACCGACTAGATAAACATAATATCAGTCATTAATATATTCATCCAATGATTTTGTACATCATCATGAATTATTTTCCACATGTTAAATGTCAACATGTTGATGATGATGAAATCTATCCTAATGGAAAGAAATGTGAATGAAATATGAAATAAACATTGATTTCTATAGAGACAAATTATAAAAACAAACCAACAACAACACGTCGTGTTGATAATGATTTAGCGCATGATAAATCAGTTTTGTGTTTTTATTTCACTTACTTAAAACTAATTTCATCATTTATTAATGATGATTGATATATGGTTTACCAACTAGGGATTTTTAACCAATTAACCACAATCTAGCTTTTCCCAAAATTTTGACTGATAACTTTAGAGGATGTGTAACTAATAGAGACTGATCGATTGATTTCATTGCCTAAAATCGATAATAATATTGACGTTTTTGGATTTTCTAAATCACAATGTTTACTTATAGTTCAGGAATAGAGGGTTATTATTTTGACTTGTAATTAATATTCAATTCGCTTCCGTATTCATTGGTTTAATACATCATAATATTTAAGCGATATCCAAAAATCTTCGTTTTATTGTTTCTATGTTGAATAACTTACGTCACCTATGGCGAAGGTGAGATACCCATATATGAATTAAGGGACGAGTATACTGCTTAGCAGTTCGTTCTATTCTAGTTTACAACTGCGAGACGTGGCCATTAGGAGTAGAAGATACTCGTAAGCTACTAGTATTTGACCACAGATGCCTTAAAAATATTGCCCACATCTGCTGGAATCACCGGGTAATTAATAGTGAGGTTAGACCCAGGGTATTACGGAATGATGGTAAATCAATTGATGGGGTTGTGAATCTTCATCGACTGAGATGGTTGGGCCACGTGTTACGTATGCCTGAACACCGATTAACACGACGTGCAGTGCTAACCGGTGTTGGAGATAGTTGGAAGAAAGTTAGGGGTGGCCAAACCAAAACGTGGCATCAGTCCATAAAGTCATTAACTTCTTGTCTTAGATATTTTGGTAGATACATACTAATTGGTTTGGGGTCTGAGCGACTATTGTAACCAATGGTTGGAGACTGAGTGACATGTTTCAGGGTTGATCCCAATGGCGTAGGTGTATACACTCTTTGTCTTCCCTTAAACTAAGAGATTAAAATCACTTCATACCTTTCTTTCTACGAACTACTTCTTTTTTCCTGTATTCTATCCTTATACATAATCTTATATATATTACTACCATTGAAGTAACTACTATGAATTTGGTGGTCATTTTGTTGTACTAATGAGGTGTGGGAACTTGGACCGATGCCTATATTTGTCTGATCTTACATTGAAGCTAATTGACTTATATAGTCTTGTGTTGATATTTGTTATTATCCAGTTATTAGATGATAGAAGGCTAATTTGTTCTATATCATTCAGAGCTATTATTTTGAGCATAATTTATCAATACCATTTAATTATTAATTAACATTCAGGGTTAATTTTATATCTATGTGTGTGTAACCCTTGTCAGTCAAAAATAATACACTACTAAACAAAAATACACATTAATTCAAGTTTTTATTATTGCATTTAGAACAGTGTTGTGTTTAATATCGTAACTTTTCTAGTTCTTCAGTACTTCTCGAATTCTGTCAATCAAGTTACAGTATCGTCATTAATTTGAATGACTCAGCCTTGTCCTACAATATATCGAGACGTTTGCTGATTGAAAATAGTTGATGGAAATCTCTACTGAACTTAGATTTTATGCTTTTCAATAGATGAATTTTTTAAAAGACCAACTCGAGTGAATCGAAGTGACATCAGTGATAATTGAAATGAAATTAAACTTACAGAATATGCAAAGATGGATAGTGTCTAGTAGTGGAATTGTCCTATTTGGGACTCGTCAGCTGGATGTACTTGCATCACAGAGTTTATGTTCACTCTGGGACTCGAACCCAGTATCGTTCGCTACTAGTAAAACATCACCAAGTGAATACAAAATATGGTTTGGAAAGTAAGAATTAAGTATTCAAGGATAAAATCTATGAAATAACGTTGAGTAAAAATAGTTTGACATGTGCTACAGTGAAAGTCATTTCACTAATTTAAAGTCTAAACGTCCACGTACAAGATCGAAGGTCATTGGTTTGATTTTAGGATGCGAGATCGTGGATACTCACTGGTATTGAGAAGTCTGAAGCTAGAACCAATCGGCTGTCCTTAACGTTCAGGTTCTTAATGGTGGTTTAGCTAAGATCAGTTCATGATAAAAATAATAAAAATTCTACAATCTTCACAAATCCATTTATACTAATAATAACAATACACTTACGCACCGTGTCACCTAACGGTCTCATAACCATTTACATCGATTCTTATGCGAACCTTTTACTAGATCGTTTGTTTCTATCGATACGATCTATATTTCAACAATCAATAACTTCACCAATTAATGTCATGTCTTAATTTGTTTGCTCGATTTCACATCTTTACTCTATTATCACAATCTATTCTTACTCATGTTCAAAAAAGGACGGTTCACTATGTGTATTATATTATCTATTCTAATATGATCTTCAAATCCTAATGTTTCCGATTACTGCTTATACTCTTACTACCTCTACCACTACGGGATTTGAATCGACAACTGCATCTCTGTGCTAATGTAGTATGGCAACTCGAACTGATGTACGTAAATACGAAGTTCAACCTTGTTACTGACTGACTGAACTGACTATTATCTATTCTACTCACTATTCTGTATTTTAGAATAACTTCACCTTGAAAGAGAAAACAATTACTTATTTACTTACGCCTGTTATCCACAATAGAGCAGAGGCTGCTGACCAGCATTCTCCAACTCACTTTGTCTTGGGTCTTCCTTTCTAGTTCTATTCAATTGTTGTTCATTCTTCTCATATCTGTCTACATTTCTCAACGTAATATATTATTTGGTCTTCCACTTTTCCTTTGGTCTTAAGGATTCCAAATGAGGACTTGCCTTGTGACGTATTTGGATGCTTTCCTCAATGTGTATCCTATCCACTTCCAGCGCTTCTTCCTGATTAATATTCTTTTATTATTCAATTAAGCTATAAACCAGATTTAATTTACCTGGGTTGCTTTATAAACTGTTGAGAACTTTGATGTTATTGCTTTAATAAGAGTACAAGATTATATTTTATAATATCGTATGTTGATTATTGTTGAATGTTTGAAAGTGTATATACATGTACAGTAAGAAAACGTATTCCATTTATGAAGCGTTGAATGATAGAATTAGTTTGTTTATTTAACGAACGACTTGTTTGTTTGTTTTTTTTTTTTAGCTACTGGTTGATATTGGTATTATGTAATTTAGTAATAAAAATTTGTGCAAGATTATATCAGCTATATATTTTGTTTATTTGAATACTTAATTACACTGACTTCCTAACTGCTTCCTAATCCCCTAGAACCATTCACTTTTCTTTCTTTTGAACTTCGTAGAAAAAAAAGCAAAAGGTAATAAGTGTCTGCCCCAAAATGCCTTGGTACGATCGAGAGTGGAGAGAGTCAGATCTCTCTCTCTCTCTAAATGCTATCACATGACCACTGCAAGGGAAGTCCTACTCATTGCCTTCTCTCGGCATTACTTTTGTTTACAGAATCGAGGGGACGAAAAGCGAATATCCGGTGTTTTAACCGGGTTGGTGGATATACAGGATACATCTAAGGCAGTTGGAAAACCCTCATTCCAAACGAATGGTGTACATGGGCTACAGGTTCCTGAAGGAACAAATGGCGTGTGAACCAATCGTTGGTCACAGGCTGCCATGGAACTGCATCTCCTGACGTTGCTCCACTGTCTTGTGGATTAGACCTTTACGTTGAAGGCTCTGGGTGTGGTCCCCCAAGAAAATGACCTCCTTCGGTTTGGGCACCCAGACAGTATCACAGCTCTCACACAAATCGAATGATTTATGTGGTGCATATCTATTTGATGCCTTCTTGTACCTATGTTCATATATTTAAATAAAGTGTTGAGAAAGATTTTTATTTGAAGGTTAAAGCATTTATATGATGTTCCTGATGGCTTTAATATTTTGGAAGCTTCTGGAAAACATATCCGATGATTATTCAATCAGGACAATTAAAGTATAATCTATCGTTTTCTACAATTCAGAGATTTTTTCTATAAAACGTTTATTATTCAAAGCAGTTATAGTATTCTTCTGACTTCTAATTACTTTCCGAAGGAATTATCCTAAAACTCGTAAAACCAATAAATAGTCAATAATTATTCATTCTCACAGTTGAATTCATGGGTCGATCTAAGCTAGACTACTATTTAAAATCTGGAAGCACTGAACGGTCATGGGACTCAGTAGTGCGTATCCACGATCCCGCACGCGGGACGAAACGGCTGTCCTGTGTTTCCAGGTTTTCACTGGGGGTCTAGCTTAGATCAACTCGTGAATTCTAATACTGATAATTATTCATTCATGTATTACAATTCAAAATTTATTTTACGTCATATTGGTACATTTTCTTTGTACACAATTCTTTCTTCCTTATTAGATTCAAATTGTCAATTAATTCCACCGAGTTCATCAAATTCTGACACAAATACCATTCAATTAACAGATCCATCTAGTTCAGCAATTACAATAACAAATCCTACCTCACGAATAGAATCTTCACCTAATGAACAAGGTACAGATCATGTAGATAAAAATCGTCGAATTGGTGAAATTGTTTTAGGCTTAGATATTGCTCCAGGTGAAGAACCACTTCCAGAAGGTTGGGAATTAGCTAGAACTGCAAGTGGTCGAAAATTTTTCATTAATCATAATGAACATACTACTACTTGGGTAAGTTATTATTTCACTTATTACTTTAATTAATAATTACTAGGATTAATTATATGTAATACAACTTCTGTACTTATATTATAGTAATCTAAAAAAAGGAATCACCGTAGGCAATACTATTTGCATATGAGATGTTACGTTTATCTATCTACTGTGTTTAGAGTCTTCAGTTAAATAAATTGGCGAGACTAATTTATGGACGAACCAATCATGTATAAGATAACAGATCTTGGATTTTGGCGCACAATTCATTCATCCATTTGGCTAAATAAAGTTTTGGCATTATAGGTGATGTCAGTTCGTGATGAAAGCCGAAATCTAATTTTTAACCTTAATCATCAACTGTAAATCATAATTCGAATTCCTCACACTGGTTTATAACCCTCATTTGGTCCTAGTTATTAGGTGGTCAGTCTAGTGGCGCTCAAAGGTCGTTCATAAATTATAGTGTCATCAACAAATTAATCTAATAAGAAAATAGCATATATCAGTAGTGCACTAAACTGTGTGCAATACTTTGAACGTATATTCTTTTGTCTCTTTTTTGGTTTTTCATTCATTCATGATTATATATTTGGAGGGTAATTATGTTTGATTCATTAATTGTTGGTTAATGTATGTGAGCTATACACAATCAGATAAAGTTGTCAGTGTTATTGAAACAAGGATGATTTTGGATTTGTTTTAGGTTTTGAAAAGAAAGAATGACTTCATGGAATAAGAAGGGTATAAAATAATATCAGCATTCAATAACTAAGGGAAAAATAACCAGTGAATAGGTATTTACCCATTTTGAGTGACTCCTAGCTATTTATTAAACATCAACTATTGGTTACATTCATTGCTTAGTCACCAATCAGATAAACTATACCTATCAATGTGAGTCAATCCGACAGTCAATAACCCCATGAACTAATGCTATATCTTGGTTTGTCCAGCCGATAACTTTCACTCTACTCCGACACCAGTTTATATCCTGCTTTGAAGTAGGCTTTGGTTGAGTATATAAGATAAATGTTCGAACCACTTCAGTCAGTGTTCGTTCACTACCTTGTCAGTCGATTTATCATTATCTATTACTCTGCGTTTAATCTCAGCATTGCTCACTCGTTATTCTATAATACATACGAATAATGCTTCAATAACCTGCAGTTCATACAAATCTACTTTCATAGATCATGTTACTTAGCCGTAAAGAAGGAGCGAAAATAATACAGAGCTGATTGCTACACGGTATACTCACTTTTCCGTTGCGAAGTTGTTTAATTGACTGTGCAGCTGTGTGTGTATGTGTTTATTGAAATCTACTTTATAGATTGTTTTCGTTTCGGTCAATCTGTAATCGTGTCAAAGTAATACTTTCATGTTATACGTTTTTTTGTATAGATAAATATATTGTGATTATATTCTTAGTAAACCAAATCGATCTTTTCATTGGTTTTTTTGAAAAAACAAACTTTAATTGTTCTCCTCTTGTATGTTCATCAGTAGCGTACTTATTTAAGTATTTTCATTATTTCAATTTTGATCCTGTGATAATAACATGTGATTACAAAATGTGTTTTGTACACGTTGTATAATTGCATTGGTAGTATTGTTGAAAAACTCACGATTACTATTAATATTACTACCACTGTGGTGTGGGTTACTTATATCCGCACAAGTAGTATATGACGCTGGTTAGGCATATAATGTATTTTAGTGGAAGATGGATATGGAAAGAACGGGAACGAAATGCAATTGGTATGAAAACGCATGAACAATGAAATCTAAGACAATGGATTGATGTTTGCGTACAGGAACAGTCAAGTTTGAGATGATGGATTGATATTTTGCATATTAACGATTTACTATATAGTTCTCAGATTTTATTCAGATGCTCTGTTATTTTGTGCTCAAATACATTCGATTGTCCCCACTCGTATTCTGTTCACAACACTACTACTACTACTACTACCAATAATAATACTGAAGTGTTTTCTGAAGTTTAGGATTGTCTTTAGTTTATAATTTAATTCAATAATCCATTCACGACCGGTTTTTTCTAAGTCCTATTTTGTTTGTTTTTGTTAATTGACCAATAAACTTCATAACGTAATCTACAGGGTTCTAGTTTGAACCTGTCACCGTATCTTGAATGTGTGAGGCAGCTAACTAATCTAGTTGTACATTATCATGAACCGATTGAAGTTAGATAAATGAAACGTTGAGTGGCGGCTCGTTTGTTCAAAGATCAAAACCTCGTTGCTAGGCTTAATGTCCTGGGTTCTATCCCCGGTACAGTTGAGGGTGAAGAGAGTCCTCTCCTCTATTCGAAATGACATCATCTAGCCATGCGTTCGTAGTTGCCGTCAAGGAGGTCCTGCTCACTGCTTTCTCGTGGAGTGGTTGTTGTTTATGAAATTGACGTGTTAAAAAGCGAATTTCCGGTTTGGTGGGTACTGTGTATCCACTTGGTGCATTTGGGAAACCCTAATTCCGATCCAATGATGCACATTGGCTCCAGACTCCCGAAGGAACAAGTGGAGAATGAACCTGTTGTTGGTCATCGGCTATCATGTGACCACATCTCCTAAAGTTGCTCCACTATCTTTTGGATTAGATCTCTAAGTTTTTAGCACTCGGACAGCATTCCAGCCCATATACAAAGTTAATGATTTGTGTGGCACGTATATATTTCTGTGCTTTTTTCTCTACCAATGTTTATTTGTTTAAATAATAGTAAATAATCCCCAGTGCTATGTGGTCGTTTTTATGCGCTTCTGAGAAGTAGTAATACTACAGTAGAACGAAATATCCGTCCAGTTTTTCTTAGTGTTCAGTGGTTGTTTTGATGAAACCAGTTCAATATGTAAACTATCAAACTCACTTACTGTGTATCATTATGCTTAATGAATTCTTACATCACTATTTAATTTTTCATTATTCTCAAATCTTAGGATGATCCTAGGGTTATCCGACCAAATAATCAAATAACAAATGGTTCTTTATTAACACATGAAGCACAACGACATGTAATGAAAGATTTAGGCCCATTACCGGTAAGACAAATTATCCCTTTTTCATTTTTGTTAGCGATTTTTCTAAGTCGCTCTCTCCTTTTTAATCAATAATTACACTTTTAATAATTTCACTAGTGGTCATTTTTTATGTTACATAACTTTAAATAGAGATTGCGTTTTAGCGGTTTGGTCTCAGCCTCCTAACCTAACCGGGATATATTTTGGTTTGAGGAAACCCTAGGTCAAATTATTTACCGAACATGCATGTAATTCGGCTTAAAAATGAGTCTACAAGCGTGTACTTTATAAATTAGATGCATTTAGTCAACATTTATCATCGTTCCGTATTAGTAATTCCTATTTCGCAAGCACCGATCCATATACAAAAGTGGTCTATTCCATTATACAATGTCATAATCCAGCTAACATATCATTGTGTTACACCCTCAAATACTGTTCTGTTAAATATATGTGTTTAATAAATAGTGTCTTTGAAATGCTTTTAAAACTGCCAACTTCAGTATTCAGACGATAATCATTTCAAATTGTTTTTTTACTGAAAAGCAGTAGGATTTCTGTAATTCATATTTTATCTAATGATTCGGTGATGTGATATACACACATTAGTGTTTAGTGTCTGAAGTTATATAGTTTACATTCTAGTTACTTTTCAATATGTAAAATTGAGTTTGATTAGAGGCAGTCGACAAAAGCCCTGAATGTGTCAAGTGCTGACTAAGACAAAACTTGGATTAACTAGGGTTTCATGTCGATTACCGCAAATCCACCACCTTATATCTCAACACAGTGCACACAACTTTAAGTCATTTAGGCTAGTGGCCACTTTGCAACTCAATTGATAGAATTCAATTCAAACACATAAAACCTATCCTCTCTTTGAACGTATTCCCAAACGATTCTACCCCCCCCCCCATTTGACTTAATAAAAAAGCCCACATAATTCCCATTTCAACATTAAAACACTAAGTTCAGCGAAGCGATCCCTTTTCAACGAATTTATTATCAGTAAACGGAATATATCTATTAAGCCATAAATTGAGAAGGATTATTTCAGCAAAGAGAGTTCTCTTTTCCACGAATTCATTTTCGAAGCTGTACAATCGCAAATATATGTACTTCTTTTTCAGGATGATAATAATTACAATAATATTGATAATGAAATTCTATTAAACATGGTAACAATCAGGTAGAATAAACAAAGGTATTAAAACGTTATTTTTATCAGGGAAACTAATAATAGTTTGATAAGCAAGGATGGATGGTGGATATCAGTGGAATCTGGAACGCACGTTTCATCCTATTTGTGACTTGTCGACTGGAGTTGATATTCACTCCCAAATATCAATGGGAAGATTCAAATAAAATAATACAAAATGAATTAATAAAAGTTTTATTGTTAAAGACTTGAATATTCATCATGAAGATAGATAGGAGAATTATAACTGAGAAGGGATGGCTCAGCGTGATAAGATAAAATGTTGAAATTGTGATAAAATGTAATCAGGAGCATCATAGAAACAAAAATAAACCAGTTTAGGGTAAAAGGTCTATAGAAAAGGTAGAAGGGGATGCAGATGCTTGTGAAGGAGGAAAGGTATGGTGAAAGAAAATTATGAGACATTAAGATGATGGTAGATACATAATTTTGGTTTTTCCAGATCTATAGCTATTGCTTCAGCAATGTTAAGAAGATGCAGTATAACTGCTTTTAACAGCCTTCTACTCACCTTGTAGATGACTTTGAACGCAGAGTCCGATTGGATTGCGCTTCTTGTTAAAACTCTTCTGCCTCTTTTAGTCAAGCTGAATATAGTACACATCGAAAAACCTATAAACCTAGCTCCACATGAGCAGATAAATTAGTAAATGCACATAGAGTTGGTCAGATGCAATAATTTATCCTTAAGATTATTGATAAGCTTTAATCGGCTGGAGAACACTATTCGCAAATTTGCTGCTTAGATCATTTTTTTAGGACGCCTGTAACTCAAGAAGCTTAGTTCATCATCTATGATATTGGGATTACGAATCCTCCATATTCGCGTAGCGAGTGATATGATTAAATTTCGCTTTCGGCGAATGTGGTCCCAGCTGTGGAAACTTGATGGCTGGCCGCTCCATAATTGTTTCTTGTAGATAGATCTTCCTTCGTGTATTCTTATCATTTCCACATCAAGAAAGTGAATACTTGTTTGTTTTCAACTTCAAGTGTGAAATTTTCCGATGGTTAACAGTTATTAAATGTCTTTAGAAGATGATTCAAATAATATTTATTGTCACAAATGATAAAGACATCATCCATGTACCTTTTATACAAGTGGAAGTTGTCGATAGTCGTTTTAAGTTGGTTGTTTTCTGGACTGTCCATAAAGCAATCTGCTGGTAATAAATTAAGAGGAGATCCCATTTCTGTGTCATCTTTTTACCTATGAATTACATCATTGAGTGTAAATTGCACTTAACAAGTTCATCATAATACTAGTTTATTTAAATAAACTTCTAGTAATCTGATATTCCTCTTATTATGGTTTATGTATTTGCACATAAAACTGATGATCTCTATCAGTAGAACATTAGTGAATAGTGATTCGACATCAATAGAGATGACAAGTTTATCATTTACATTCACTCCTTTTATGTATTCAATGAATTCTAACGTATCGTGTAAGGAGTGTATACAAATACATTTTCCTATCGGTTCTAGGAGATTTGCCAGCCACTTTGCTGTAGTTTGGTAAGGGAATCCGGAATTATCACTATTATTTGTAATTATTATTACTTTGGAAAAACAAGTATATATATTTGCGATTGTACAGCTTTGAAAATGAATTCTCCAAAAGAGAACTCTTCACTGAATCTATCGTTCTTAATTGATTGTCAAACTGTACAATCGTATGTATGTATGTGAATTTTTTGTTAAATTATTCTGTGATGAATATGACGACGTAATAGGAAGATTACAATGCTAGATTACTTAATATGAATAATAACAATAAAAGATTGTATTTGTGCAAATAGAAATCGCCTTGTAAGTTAGTGACGAATTATAATCTGAATAAAGTAAGATGATTAAAATGCTTTTAATGGTTGAGATCATGAATCAATTGAAGCTAGACCACTATGGAAAACCTAGAAACACTGGACGGCCGTTTCTTTCAGTCGTAGGACTCCTCGGTAGTACACATCCACGATCCCGACTGGCGGGATTCGAACCCAGGACTTATCATTCTCGCGCGCGAGCTCTTAACCAGTAGACCACTGAGCCAACATCCAAATGTTTTTGTTAACAATAATTAAAAATAACAGAGGGGTAAAAATGAAATTAAGTAATATCAGAAATTATTATGAATTAAACCATGAAAATATGAGATAGAGAGGGGGGGTGATCATTTCAAATACGAAATATTATAGTAATAGTCTAAGGCTAAGATAACAATAAGATGTAGTTTTTTTGTGCGTACAATTCTGGCTTCTACTCATGGTTATCAAGAGCTTCTACTGTTTTAAAGAGTTGGATACAAAGAAATCTAGATTGGATTTATATGTGATTTATATAAATAACCGTAAAATCAACGTGTCAATCAGTAGAATGACTAAAGCTGATTAGATGTAAAATGAAGAATGGAACTCTCACCTTTGTAGAGAACCTATACACTAGGACATGTTCTTGTATCCAACATAAACAAATAACTACAATATGGAAATAAATCATTCTGTGTAATAACACACACATACACACACAACTGTTTATCAAATAAATAAATAAATAAACATCATTCTATTTTATTAGATTTAACCATTTAAGATTATTCATTCTCTGTCTTATTCATGTGAAGTGTGAATGTGATTTCGTTTTACATCTTGTTCATTTTAATTTATACAAACAAACAAACAAAAAATGCATTGATTGATTTGTTGTGATATATATATCATGGATTCGTTTCTATATTCCCCCTCTCTCTCTCTCTCTCTCTCTCGCTCGCTCTATGACTCTTGCTATGACAACATATTTGTCCATTATTCTATTTACAAGTATCATTAAATAAATATTGTTTGTCATAGATTGATGTGTATGTTTATTTATATTATCATGTTTATAGGAGAATTTATTTATTCACATCTCATGCATGTGTTTGTTTGTATTGCACAAGTTGTGTGTGTATGTGTGTGTGCGTAGAAGTAGATGTTATAACTTTAGCTTGAAACCCGAACATGTTTTAGCATCTCATATATACATGATGAATATTTATTATTAGAATAAGAGAGTTGTGGAGATTGTAGTATTTTCACTGCTAAAATCATGAACTGATCTTAGCTAAACCACCATTGAAAACTTGGAAGCACTAGAAGGCTATTTCATCCCATCACGGGGCTCCTCATTCACTTCTGTCACCCGATATGGATTGAACTTCACTAGTTCTGGTGAAAGCACTACAATCTCCCCTAATTCCCTATGCTAACAACAATCAAATGATCACTAAGGACTAGCTTCGACATGCAACTCCTGCAGTTCTGTATGAAGCTATGACTGGCAGAATTCGATCCATCCCACGTGGCAGAAAGTTATCTATCTTATGGAGTGGATGAAGGGTTACACAAGATAATGGATTGATTGAAGCTAGACATGTACATTGTTGGATGTTGACTCAGTAGTCTAGAGGAAAAGTGTTCGTGTGTGTGACCGAATAACTTGGGTCTGATTTCCGCGTTTGGGATCTTGAATTCACATTTCTGCCACTGAACTGTCCCGTACTGGGACGAAACAGCCCTCCAGTTCTTCTGGGTTTTTAATCGCGGTTTAGCTAAAATTTCAACGGCGAAATGTTTATAACCCCTTTAAAAGAAATCGTATTCGTGAAAATCCAAAGATTAAAATAAATCTAATGTTTCACTCGAGTGTCTGGTATCTTTTATTGTCTTTCATCAACTCAACACCTGACTTCTTTGAAATTGAGACGAAATTACTTACATCTACAATTCTGTTATAAAATATGATAGAATTCATATTATATATTCTCAGTCAATCATAATCAGTGTGGAGCCTGACATAAATGTTGAGCCAGATCAATTTCCCAAACTACCCTTAAGTATTGGGTCTTTGTTGCCCAATGTTGTTACATCCTTGATCTGTCTACCCAATAATATTCAGGCGAGAACCTGTCTCCATTTAGGTTAAGACCTTGACACGACGGGCTAATTGGTTTAACATTGAGGCTAAAAATGTTGGAGTCCGAAGTAACGATATTGCACACAGAAATGAAAACTATTCTATCATCCGATTTGTTAATAGGCGGGAGAGTGAGAAGACGAGTCAACTGGAATACTATTCGATTTATTCCTGATTCCGATTAGTGTAAAAAGATACATGAATAAATAAATGACTAACATAACCACAACGCACAAACAATTACAGAAATACAAACTGACCATTAGGGTAGAAAAATAGAGTACAAAAGGTTACGTTTAAATTACAATAGCTTTAGAACAGCAAAGGGTATGACAAAATACATCCCTCCATTCGGTTTAATAATTAAATCTTGTACGGAAAGTGGATATGTGTGATCCTCTAGGCGCAAACGCTTATCCTTTAGACCACCGAAACCAAAGGTCCTGGGTTCCAATCCCACGTACGGAATCGTGAATATGCACTACTGAGTCCCACACTAGTACGAAACGGCCGTCCAGTGCTTCCAGGTTTTCAATAGTGATCTTCCTTGAATCGACTCATGAATTCAACTATTATAATTTTTAATGACATGTGACATGGTGTCATTCCTAACATTTGATTGTTTGATCGAACGTACTCTTTTAGTTTTGTGATTGTATTTCTCAATATTTAAACTTCGATTAATGAGATGAAATCCTTCTTTGATTGAAATAAGTGTTTATCTTGGTCACTTTTGATTTGTATACCAAAGACTAAAACCATGGGACATCGAAACAAATCCAAATTAAGAGCAAATGCTTTGATAGGGTGAGGAAGATTTTTAGCTCAAGTGAATGATCTCAGTGGAGTTTAGGTTCTTAGTACTAAATGATTATTTAGTCGTGTAGCTTTCATTTATCTTCTGAATAACAATTTTCGTATAAATTGCGCAAAATTTCTCGAAGGCAATTCTGATTGTGAAAACTTACTTACGTACTTACGCCTGTTACTCCTCGTGAAGGAGCATAGGCCGCTCAGCAGCATTCTCCATCCAACCCTGTCCTGGGCAATCCTTTCCAGTTCCTATCCATCCTTTTCATATCTGCTTCTATGTTTGCTAAAACTACTATTTATTAGTAAGTGTAAAACATAACTAAATAATCTGAAGGCCTTCCTAGTTATCATTGAACACTTTTCTTAACGAGAGTATAGTTTACGTAATCAGTCAGAGGTAATTGAATATTTGATCTGGGGAAATTTATATGTAATAAACTATTAACCGGAATAAATGGCTTACATGATGTTTAAAAAATGTCAAACATTCTTGTTTCTGTTAATTTGGGATAATTATTGTTATGAACACCCAGAATATTCTTTGAAAAAAGTTCAGAAGGGTCCTGAAAACTCTGGGAAACATTTTATCAAATCAGTATTGAATAAAAGTTCCTAAGAAACAGCTAGAAAGTAGAGAGTCACGTATCACACTCTTGATTGAATGATTGCTTATTTTGCTACTATGGTAGGGTCACAGGACCCTCTAGAAGCTCAAGGTTATCTGAAATGCTATAAAGACCATCAATTTTCAATATATAAACAAATCTTGGAGTAAAGTGTTCTCCTCATATTTCACACCTTTTCTCTCGTGTTCAAGTTGTCGTGTAGATTTAGCCTGGAGTTACTAGAAGATCTTAGGAAACTTATTTAAATGTTCAGTCAAAATATTTATCAATTATCAAAAATATTACATCATTAATTTTTTTCATTTAGAAACAATATATGCAATGCTTAATTGATTTTTGAAATGATCAAGTCAACGTGACATCAGTCCTTGAAGTCACTAACTTCTAGTCTGAGCCATGTTGATAGATGCAGACTACTTGGTTGTGGTCCACATGACTATCGTAAACCAATGGTTGGAGACTCTTGGTGACATGGCTCAGAATCAATCACAATGGCGTTGGTGTTTACACTCTCTATCTTCCCTTAAACTATGAAATTAAAATTATTTCATATCTTTCTTTCCACTAATTAATTCTTTCTCCATGTATTATATCTTTATACATAGTCTTTCTTTTATGTATTACTACCATTGAAGTAACTGCTTCTATGAATTCGGTGTTCATCTTGTTGTGCGAATGTGGTGTGGCAACTTGAACGGATGTGCCTGGTCCTAGGTTGTTGTTGACTGACTGAGTAATAATATTTACAAATTTAAGAATAGTCATACTACTTGTACATCATGTAGTTTCTTTTGTGTTCCCTTGATTTTTATTTGTTTTGTTTTATTCTACTCAAAAATAGCCTGGTTGGGAAGAACGTGTACATAGTAATGGTCGTATTTTCTACATTAATCATAGTAAGTTAATTTCTAATATAAAATTGTTCTATTGAGAATACTATCTACATATGTGTGTTTATTTGCCTGTTTGTTTATATCGTGCACAGACTATTATTATTATTATTATTATGATTAGTGTATTTCTCCGTGGCAGTCCGTTCTGTTTTAATTTACGGCGGCGAAACATCGCCATTAAGAGTAGAAGACACTCGTAAGCTACTAGTATTTGACCACAGATGCCTTAGAAATATTGCTGGCGTCTGCTGGGATCACCGGGTAAGTAATAGTGAGATTTGACGCAGGGTATTAGGGAATGATGGTACATCAGTTGATGAGGTTGTGAATCTTCATCGATTGAGATAGTTGGGCCACGTGTTACGTATGCCTGAACACCGATTACCACAACGTGCAATGCTAACCGGTGTTCGGGATGGTTGGAAGAAAGTTAGGGGTGGCCAAACCAAAACGTGGCATCAGTCCACAAAGTCACTAACTTGTAGTCTGAGCCATGTTTGTAGATGCAGACTACTTGATTGGGGTCCGTGTGACTATCTTAACCAATGATTGGAGACTCTTGGTGACATGGCTCAGAATCGATCACAATGGCGTCGGTGTATACACTCCCTGTGTTCCCTTAAAACTAAGAGATTAAATTCGCTTCATATCTTTCTTTCTACTAACTAATTCTTTCTTCCTGTACTATATCCTTATTGCAATCTTTCTCCTATATATTACCACCTCTGAATTAACTACTTTTATGAATCGGGTGTTGATCTTGTGTTAATGAGATATGGCAACTTGGACCGATGTATATATGTGCCTGGTCCTACGTTGTAGCTGATTGACTGTATTTCTGCGATCTATATTTACCTCTTAATTCGTACTTCAATTGCCCTGTATCTACTTACTACTGCTGCTTTTTTTGTCATACTATTTTCTTGATTGTTTTGATCAGTACATGTATGTATAGTGCTATGTGCAGGTGGTCGATAAGGAAAGCCTGTTCGACCAAGGTTCCATACTATTTGGAACTCGTTGGAAAAGTGTACCTGTAGTCTTATTCGAACTTATTTCATGTGTTTTAAAAAAAAAATAATTTCGATAGATGCTCGGACTACTCAGTGGGAAGATCCTCGTCTAGAACGTTTAGGCGGTCCAGCTGTTCCTTATTCAAGAAATTATAAACAAAAATATGATTATTTCCGATCAAGGTTACGAGCTCCACGTGATCCACAAGCTAAATTTGAATTACGTGTTACACGAGCTGGTATATTCGAAGATTCATTCCGTCTAATTTATGGAATAAAAAGACCAGAAGTGTTAATGCATCGGTAAGTTTACATGTATATATTAATTTGTTTAAAGTAGTCGGCAGTAAACCATAGATATAAAGTTATACTAGTTATCACTCGTCAGAAAGGTTTATCTGCAATCTGGAACTAAACTGATTGCCGTTGTTGTATTTGAACTTTTATCATAGAGCTCTACAGTCTAACATGTCACTATCGAGATATTTGAACCGGTATTGACCTGTTGAACTGACATAGTTACAATTAAGTGACCATTCAGTAGGTTGGTGAGCACACTATTACTTCGAGCCTCCAAGAATTCTTTAAGCAAGATTCCTGAAGAAAGGTGAATACTGAAAAACATCTTGTTCAATCAACATCGAAAGGATGCTTCTTAGAAGCATCTGGAGAAACTCAAGATTATGCTTTACGACTTGATTGTCTAATTGCTTACTATTTTGATAAACTTGACGTATTTCCAGAAGCTTTTGGGGCATTGAGGACATCAGTCAACCTACAAATAACCTTTCTTTGCTTATAAATTAACATTAAAGTAAGGTTTCTGTTCTTACTTTGCTCCTTTTTCTACTATTCGGGGCTTAAGTGTAGAAATTTCTGAAGCATCTAGGAAAAGGGTTAGAAGTTTCACATCCGAGTATATGTTTGCTTTTTGATCTCTGTAAAATCTTGAAATATTTAAGATACGTGACTACTATGACCGTCTAGTGAGTATTCAAAATATGCGGAAGCTCACCAACTTCATAATTTCCTTATCTCATTTGTTTCAATGTCAGTTTTATCACAATCCATTTGTAACTGTACTTAAATTGTCATAATTCACATGATGGTGATTAAGAATTCCTTATGTTTTGAAATCCAGTCACATAGAGCCATACCATCTCAACTTTTTTTCCAATGTAACCATAATTGCTGCCTTCACATATCACAGAAAATGACGAGGAGAAAATGGATATCCATGTCTCTAGATGAGTTCATGAAAAGCCCTAAGTCAAATTCAGTACTAGAAAAGGTCTCCACCATTCCGAAGGTCTATAATTGATCAGCTAAATAAAATACTAGAAAATAAGTTTATAATCTTACTTTATCACCTTATTGATCAACTCCATGTGAAAGAATCTCCTAAAAATTCTTCCCACTTCAGTATAAAAATTCATACATTTCCACTTATCTTATGCAAAATACAAGAATTTAAACATGTGAATAAATCTTATTCTTCATAAACAGACAGATGTCATCAACATATAGCTTGGTATAGATGTATTTTGACCCATATCGTCATACTATACTAATATAAGGAAGTGAAATTAACACAAGGTGAATTGCATAAAAGATCGAAATAATGTAGTAGCAGTGATAAGAAGAAAGATTAATCTTTCTGAATATGATTTGAAAAGACGTTTGTATAAAGGAATACTGAGATGTAAGATGAAAAGAAACTCATCTGTACCATTGTAATAGATTCTAAATCATGTTATCTAAAGTCTCCAATCACTTATTGTAGTTATGAAATGAACCTGAACCAAGTAGTTTGTACCTGTCAGTATAGTTCAGACCAAAATCAATAACTTCATAGAATGACACCACTTTTCGTTTTGATTCCTTCTTAGTTTCATCCAAACTACTATTTTACTGCCAAATATCTTCTGTCAAAGTAATACATGATCTAATTACCTTAACTGTAGAAGATTCACCATATCATCAATCAATTTAGCACCATTGTCAAGTACCCTTATGTTTAACCACAACATGTATCATTCAATTATTCCATTAAACATGTGCAATACTTCAATGGCATTTATAAAATTACTTACAAAATTAACTTAGTAACTAAGCCCTAATTGCCTGGATTCTATTTTTTTCTTTTTAATATTTTGCTTTTTTTTGACTTTTTATAGATTATGGATTGAATTTATTGGTGAAAAAGGTTTAGATTATGGTGGTGTACAACGTGAATGGTTCTTTTTATTATCACGTGAAATGTTCAATCCTTATTATGGTCTATTCGAATATTCAGCCGCGTATGTCTTAATTATACATATATGTATATATGCGCATATCTATACGAATATATACATTAATCTTAGTTCATCAATTGGCTTTGTTCGTTAATTTATTGAAAAGAAGATTTATGTGCATGAAGTTTTGGTACATATTATGCATTAACATGTATTTTCTTAGTTAAGAGTATTAGCTATTACTAGTTATATTTCATCATTGCTGATTTCTCGAAATCGAATAGTAATTGAGTAATAGTACTGACGACATTTGACTTTCGGTCATTTACTCACAATTCCAAACCGATCTATGCATATTTCAGTTTATGTAACCAGGTGATTTCGATTGTTTTTTTTAATGTTAAACATGAAGTCTTGGAGTTGTCCAATTATGTTTTATTTTAGATCTCTAGATCAAAGGCTCAAGGTATGGCCCTCTAAGAAAATCAGCTACTTCGGTTTGGGCACCTGAGAGATATCCCACTACTCACAAAAATGGAATGGTAAAGGGTGGCGCATATATATTTATTGCCTCCTTGTACCAATGTTTATGTGTTTTTTAAATAATGAATAACTGATAAATTTAAATAATGATCAAAAATCTGTCTCTGAAGAGTTACGCCTTCATTATCTGTAATCACCTAGCTGCTCTGTTAGTATGAGAGGGAATGGGCTAAAAAAAACATGTTTAATGGTAACCAAACCAATACTTGTTTTCAGTTAGTCCAATTACTGTCCCAATTTATGTCGATTATATATGTGCATTTCCTAATTGAAACTTCCCCAGGTTATAATTATGAAAACCCTTTGTGCGACCAACTTTAGTCAAATATTGTGGAACAAATTCATCTTTAGTAACCTTTTCATGTCTATTTTTACTGCGTTCTCACTAATTATTTGCCAGCTGTTTTTCATATGATCAAATTTACACTATGAGTTATACTAATTCTACTACTACCACCACTGATACTACTAGTTTTGACTTGTTATAATATTCAGCATGAGATTGTGGAATTTTAATGAAGTCATGAACCGACCTAAGTTAGACAACCATTGAATATTCGTTCTAATGTGGGACTCGTGAGCAGTCTGTATTCACGACTCCACAACCTTAAATTGAACCCAGGACCTTCGGAACTTTTGGACCACTGTACACCATTGGACACTGGTTCAGTGATCAATACATTAAGCGTTAGCACGTGAGACATAAGGTCCTTGGTTCAAGTTCAGGTTGCAGGGTTGTGGATGCACACTCCTGAGGAGTCCCATATTAACAAACAGACATCGAGGTTACCAAAGGTTATCTAACTTAGATCGCTCCATGATTTCAATGAAAAGTTATTTAACCTGTTTGTCTACGTTTATACAACGTTTATGTTGATGTATATATTTATTCTCTGTCTCGTTTACCGCGGTACAGGTTCGTATACTTGGCTCTAATCCACATTTTAAATATGTTACGCGGTTGTATAGACTAAAGTAGGTTGAACGGGATTCGAACCCTAGACTTGGTAGCTGAAAATTAAACCCCTTAAACACTATATCACTCCTCCATTGAAATGCATAGTTGTGACATTCTTGAACTTATGTACCAGCTCATAATTTTCTTATGCCTCACCGACTAGCCAATCTATTTGTATAAATTTCAATTTTGAGCGAATGCCTATTGGTTAAGGTGTTCAAGTTTCAGACCCTCTTCCACCTAGTGTGGCTTAGGCCACCAGATATTATCATTAGTCTTAGAATCTAATTCATACCAAAGTACCTTGTAGACAACGATAAATAAATAAATTGAAACCTTTATCCATTCCGTCTCAGTATCTTAAGCGCTGTTAGAGGTATGTAGAGGGTTGTAAATCCCTGATTACCCACACTGTGGTCGTAGCGGCCTAGGAGGGTGACCGCAAAGTCCATTGAAAGAATTCCTGAGGCCCGTCATACATGTGCTCTCTGTGAGGAGTTTTTAATGTATTAGCTCCATACTTTAAAAAACCTTACTCTTGGTGACATAAATCAGCGAAACATTTTCAGGGTTGAACTTTTTTGTAGTCCCTTCTTTTCATTTTGAGAATACAGCATCACTGCAGATGCTCGTTTCCTGGGGGAAACATCTTATAATTGTCACACTTCAATACAGTCAACAGTACGACTTCATCCTCGAACCATGTTTTTGTTGAATTCAGTCTTACCGTTTTCCAACCAACCTCCCGGACATGGTAGAATCTAAAGAGACAATTTTTCTGGTCAATATAAGTCGATCATGTTATTACTATTTAAGAGTTTGAACACCTTATTGAGAGGTCCTAGCTACAATCGCATTCACACTTTTATAACACATTTCTAAATATATATTATATTAAGTGAATGTATTTATTGGATTTTAAAGATGTTTATCCTTTCCTTCACTAATTCAATGACAAAACAAACTGTATTCAAGTTAAGAGTATGGACTACATATTATAGAGAAATACACTTAACTCTACATTGTTTATCTCACTTTTCTTTTTCCTTGTTACTATGCGTATATAGAAAATTAATTATGATGATATAGGTTGATTCATTCTAGTTACTTAGTTGATTGTTTCAATAAAGTCAGTTCACAGTGTACTTTATTATTATAAGAAATCTAACTTTTGAACATACATATTTATATGTTCATGTACCTAATAACTTGAAAATGTAATGTATTTTTTTTCTATTCTTCTATTATTTTCTCTCCTACTATCCCTCTCCTGTTCCCCCATTCTTATTCTGTATTTTTTTCTTCATTATTATCTATAAGTATGCTTGTTGTCGTTACATAAATTTATTAAGCAGTCCAGTGTATTACTCCCGGCTATGAACTAATAATGCTGTTACTACCACTACTACCACCACTACTAATACTCGTGCTATCGGTTGTACTTGTTGAAGAAAAAGTTAAAATCTATTGTGTATATATATTAGTATTTTGTGTTTATTAGTCTAATGGAATTTCTTTCTATCCGAATATATAATTATTATACTATGGAGAAAAGAAGAACAAATATAAACTAAATAGATCGATATTTGTTATCTTTTATGATTCATTCAATTCATAAAATTTGATCAAATTTTTCGAAGAAAAAAAGATAACACGTACTTTTATACTCTTTTTTTTTTCCAATAAAAGTGTACTATCGAACACTTTTATATTCGTTTAATTTGGTGGATTAGTTGAAGTTAAACATTAACACTATTGAATGCTGGTCAACTCAGTGGTCTAGTGGTTAAGCACTTGGATACGCAAGACTGTTAGATCCTGGGTTCGAATCTCGCGACGTGGGATCGTAGATTCGCACTACCACTGAGGAGTTCCACATTTAGGACGAAATGGTTGTTCAGTGCTTACGAATTTTCCATGGTGGTTTAACTTCAGTTGGCTCATGATCTCAACTATTAAAATCTTCCTATTCATTTGATGTTTTAGTCTGGGGCAAAGACTGATTTACACCTTTATGTTGGTGTTCTAGAATTAATGGACTGTGTTCATGAGCTAACACTGGAGGTTAAGTGGAAATGGGATTAACCACCTATTCTATCTGATTTTTGATCAATTAGAGGAGAGAAATGAGAGCGTGATTGTTGTCCTGGAGAAAAAATTTCCTTTATGTGCCTAACTGAATTGTTGACAGGATCCATTAGGTCTGGAATAGGCGGACTAAGAATAAAGCTATGAACTGTCTTGTAACCAGTACGCAGGGGTTGATACCAAAATTACTTGTCGTAGGAGCGTGATGAGAGGATATTTTCCATGACGAATTATTTTTGAATTGATTTAAGTGCTTGATATTCATTCAGTGTTTGTAAGCCACCCGGCTATGACTAGAGGTTATCTCATATATACGTGTGCTTATACTACAGGATATATAGGTCTTGGTTTATACACTATATATGCATGTAGTATATACTTACCAACGGAAGCGTCTATGCCTGTGTGTACTATGGATTGTACAGACTTCGGTTTATGCATTATATATGCATGTAACGCATACCTGTAACCGCTCGCATCTATCCCACGTATATATTGTAGGATGTAGGTTTCCTTGTTATGTCCATTCTATATATACATCTAACGCATACTTGCGGTAATACCACGTTTCATAATGGTATATTCATCATAGCCTTTAACGCTTTTGGGATGTTTTATAAGTTTCCGAAAGTGATAGGAAAGTGTAGACTGTCACATGTCTGTCTGCACTACAGATATCAAAATGTCTAATTACATGTAAGGACTGCACATAAAACTATAACATCTCCGTTTACTTTGCTTTCTCCAATGCTCTAGTTGCACTCTTTACACAAGACTTTTTCTCTTTCCCCGAAGAGTCTAAAGGCTCCCCCTGCCTAGCTGATCGAGAATACGATTACTATTTTTTCTGTAGTGCACTTCACTGGCGATTTCATTTTCATTATCTGAAACTAACTACATATGTCTTTCTATGAACATGCCATTGTAGCGCATTCCGAATTCTCTGATAAGAAACATAAATCGACAGGTAGAGGTTGAAACGAAATCCTCTATGAAAACCATCCTCTTATATCCAGCATTTACTCATTAAATGTATCGGAATATACCCGGAAATGTTTGATAACACACACACACTAAACATTGATAATTGTATATGCTAGACCACCATTGAAAACCTGGAAGCACTGGACGGCCGTTTCGTCCTAGTATGGGACTCCTCAGCAGTGCGCATCCACGATCCCGCACCACGAGGGGCTCGAACCCAGGACCTACTGGCTTCAACTGACTCATGATTTCAATCTGTGAAAATTTCTAAAAATCTCCACAAACCCCTTCTGACAATTGTATATGCTACAAATTCATGGATACGTATCTTATCCCTTGTATTTTCAAAAAAAAAATGAATGATAGGGGTGTTTTTTTAAGTTACTATTTCATGTACTACCTCTTTTTTTCTCTGTATGTGTTTGCCTTATGAGTTATCATTTTATGTTGCCTGAATATACTGTTTTCACAGATCTGTTGTCCTCCTTTCTAATCACTATAGTTTAATTATTACTTAAATAATTCATTTATAATCTTAGGATAATATTCGGTTGAATTAACCGATTATAATGTATTGATAAATCCATTCATTAAGAACAGATTAATGGACTAGAATTTAAACCCCATCGTTTTTTGTCTGTAAGTTACTATCCAACACGTGAGTATCATAACCGAATGTGATGATGTATGTATGATGGAGTTCGAACCTAGGACTTTGTGGCTGAAACTCGTTTATTCATTACCAGAAAATGTTTTCGAGTCGAGTTGGATTGTAATTAATAGTAGAAACCAAGATAACAATATTGTGATCTATTTAAGATTCATCATCTAGATGTACTTGCCCCCTAGTATTGATTTCTACATTTAAAATTGAACCTAGTGCCTATTGCTACATATACTAACATGGTATCCATTATGTTGTTGTATCTGGATATTCACTAACTTATTTAACGGCTCAAAGTCGTTTGCAATGGCGCAGGTGCATCCACTCTTTGTGTTCTTCCAAATTCTAATCTCCTGAATCCTCCTTGTCTCTTTTTTTCTCTTTCCAAATTTATTTCACTGGATTATACTCCTTGAATAACATCTTCAAACCCTAATGTTTCTGATTACTGCTTATACTTTTACTATCTCTACCACCACGGGATTTGAATTGACAACTGCATCTCTGTGTTAATGTGGTATGGCAACTCGAACTGATGTATGTACGTACGAAGTTCTACGTTGTTACTGACTGACTGACTTAACGGATATTAAATTATTTGTAAAGGATTATATTTTTCCTTTTAATTAGTAGTAAAGATGGTAAACTGCTAGAACATTTTTCACGTTTACTGTAAAGTAATTACTAGCTTTTCACCAAAACAATCGTTTATCGATACCCTAAATAGTTGTCTTTTATATAGTTTAAAAACAACAATTAAGGATAGGTTTAAGAAATTAATGCACTTCCATCCAGTTTAATAATGGATTGTATTATTCAGTGTTATATAAAAAATATGGAAGTGCATACTTCTAATCACATTTCCTACCTTTACTGTCTATTAAGTTTAGATATAGAAATGAATACTGTTTATTATCGATATTATCACTAAATGTCTCTTCACGATATATGAAAGTCTTAACTCATATACTTGTTGAAAGTTTCAAAATATCCCTTTTCAAAGTCTCTGAGAGTTCATTTACTCCGGGAAATGTTTTATTCACTCAACTTTGAATTGAAATATCTAGAAAAATTAAGGATTATGTTTCGTCACTTATTTGATGGAATAATTGCCTTCACCATCACTATATTTAGTATGTTTGCAGGAAGTTCTACAAAACGAAGGCTTTTTGTTCATAAACTGATCTTGCAATAATACTCTTACTCATATTTTGTGCCTTTTCCCTATTGATCTGGTTGACATGTAAAAGTAATCTGGAGTTGTTGGAAGCGAATAGGGAAGTCAATAATAAGAGTTCCAGTAGCAGATTTATCCGTTTTTCGTAAAGAGCATCTTTGAAATGAGATAGAAAAAATACAGAAGCCGTTAATGACATTTAAAGAGTATATTGAGGGGGAAAGCATAAAACGATTACAACATTGTACACAGATTATTTTCATTCAGATGCTAATCGTCTTACCTGATTAGCTCTACTTTAGTACGGTGAATTATGTTGAAACCTTATAATCCTCGATAGCTAAAAGTCAATAAAATCAATGACGCGGTATTATTTTAAACGCTGTGAACTTTAACATCCCCTACCTTGTTGTTATTTATGCAGTTGGATAATGTCACTGACCTTCATATCGAACAGTGGCTCAGTGGTTCATGCGTTTTTCTCTTAGTTACTAAGTTCCAATCCCGCCTCCACTTATTTCGGTTCAAGCAACCGGGTAGTATCGTTAGCCTCCACAAACCTAAATTAAACGTTGAATGAGTTAATTGGAAAATTTTTTTTTATCAAAATCGATATTCAAAGGTGAATGGATGAACCTGTCTACTAGATGACATTGATTTCACTTATAGACCCCTTTTTGATATAATTTCACCATACATAATTTTACTTCCTATTTCTTAATATAGTAGTAGTGTTTTATCGAAAGACTTGTGTATTTCAAGTTAATAACCTATTATTAGTCCGAGTTTAGAAAATATCGGTTAGTATTCACAGTTAACTTCTGAATCGTTCATTCTAGTCTAACTCAAATAATTAATGAGTTTCTTATTTACATTCGGATGATTTATTCTAGTTGCATAACTATTTATTATATTAATCCAAGTGTCGTTCCCACTTGAATCATTGGTTGTGTTATCCTAAATGTAATGTAAGCATTAATTAATCACTCTGACTTCCTACGTGCAAGTCATACATTAATAAGATGTAATTAATAGTTATGTTACGGTTCGAATAACAAAAGAGAACACCTTTTACTTCAAAGCAATTATTATTTCTTATTAACATAGGAGAGTTTGTGTGGATAATTAAATTTCTATCAGTTTGCACCACGAACTGATCTTAGTTAGATAACCATTGCAAACCAGGAAGCGTTAAATGCATACTTCTGAGAAGTCTTATACTAAGACGAAACAGCTATCCAGTGGTTCTTAGTTTATAATTGTGAACTAATTAAGATCATTCTATGATACCAAATATAAAATTCCGTAGTCTCCATCACCCCTTCTATAGTAATAGTAATAATCATGTACTCTTTAATGACTTATTCTGCACAGTAGTTCCTAGAGTCCTAATAAGGGTCTTATTTTCCATTATCAGGAAGATCGTGACTACACATTCCTGAGAAGCGCGATAGCCACCAAATGCCCTGGTACGGTCGAGAGTGGGGAGAGTCATCCCTCCCTCTCGGAATGCTCTCACATGGCCACGTGCATACAACCACTGCCAAGAAAGTCCTACTCATTATCTTCTCGCATCACGGGTGTTGTTTACGAAATGGAGAGGACGAAAAGCGAATGTCCGGCGCTTAACCAGGTTGGTGGACACGGAGGATCCATCTAGGGCAGTTGGAAAACCCTGATTCCAAACTAATGGTGCACGTGGGCTCCAGTATCTTAAAGGAACAAACGGCGTATGAACCTGTTGTTGCTTACTGACTAATATGGGTCAGACCTTCAGGTCTAAGGCTCTGGATGTATCCTCCTAAGAAAACCATCTGCTTCGGTTTGAACACCTGGGTAGTATCCCAGCCCTCACACAAATCGAATGATTTATGTGGTGCCTCATTGTACCACTGTTTATGTGTTTAAATAAAGCCTGATAGCATGATAAAACAGCTGTTCACCGTTTTTGTTTTTCAGCGATTTGTCTAAAGCGAACGAACCAATCAGATAACGAGTCACATACATTTGGCTAAATATACTTTAAGCATTATAGCTGATTTCAGTACTTGATTAAAAAATCGTAAATCTAATTTTTAACTCGTAATCATCAACTGTGAATGAGAATTCTAAATGCTTTATAACTCTCATTTAGTTCTAATCAGTAGGTGTTCATTCTTAAGTTCACTTCAGCGTCGCTTGAATGTCGTTCATAAATTATAGTCTCACCATTAAAGTCAGTCTCTGATGTAACCTATGAAATTACTATTTCTCCTAGAATTCTTCATTTATTCCTTCCTTCTTTTTGTTTTGTGTTTTCTCTCTTATCCATAGTGATAATTATACACTTCAAATTAATCCACTATCTGGTATGGCTAATGAAGAACATTTAAAATATTTTAAATTTATTGGTCGTGTTGTTGGTATGGCTGTATATCATGGTAAATTAGTTGATGGATTTTTTATTAGACCATTTTATAAAATGATGCTTGGTAAAACAATTTCATTAAAAGATATGGAAGCTGTTGATTCAGAATATTATCGTAGTTTAAAATATATATTAAAAGAAGATCCTATATCATTAGATTTAACAATGTCTGTTGAAGAAGAACATTTTGGTGAAACAGTTGAAGTTGATTTAATTAAAGATGGTAGAAATATACGTGTTACTAATAGTAATAAAACACAATATATAGAGTAAGTATTTATTTCATTTATTATTATTTGATTATTTCACCTTTTGTTGTTGTTGAGATTATGGACCGATCAATGTTAGACTACCATTGAATACCTTGGAAGCACTGGACAATCATTTTGTACTAATATGGAATGTACAGACATGATCTCAAATTTAGGAATTGGAACTAGGACTTCCGGTCTTGCACGAACACCACCATCTTCTCATGAGACCTATAGGTCCTGGGTTCGATTCCCAATTTCGAGGTCATGTATGCTCACTTCATATCAGTACGAAATGATCGTCCAATGCTTCCAGGTTTTCAATGATGGTCTAATATTGATCTGTTCATGATCTTATTTAAAAAAATATTAATAGTTATTGTTAATTATTGGTAACTCATCGATACTTTGGTGTTAATCATTATCAAAGTACGAATGAGTTCTATTGAAAAACGGATAGAACGCGATTGTTAGCATTCAACATTATAATTATTACGGCCTTATTCATGAATAAGACAGAGTGGAAGTAATACTTGATATTCAAGTGGAATAAATTGAAATAATACAACTTTATAATAATTTTAATAGTTGAAGTCATGAGACCGATAAGACCCGTGTTCGAATCCTGCGAGGCGGGATCATGGTTGGGCACTGCTTAGGAGCTCCACATTAGGACGAAATGGTCGTTCAATGCTTCCAGATTTTCCATGATGGTCTAGTTTCAATTGACTCATAATCTCAACTATTAAATTTAATACAACTTTGTATATATAACGACATAAGTTCATCCGAAGAATTGAATTGTTTAATCCCGTTAATCATCTCAAAATATTCAGTCAGTCAGCAACAACGCAGAACTTCATACGTACATCAGTTCGAGTTGCAATACCACATTAGCACAGAGATGCAGTTGTCAGTTCAAATCCCATAGTGGTAGAGGTAGCGAAAGTGTTACATCCTTGATCTGTCTATCCACTTTTGGTGCTGAAGATAACTTGTCTAATCTAAATTAAGACCTTGACGCGATAGGCTGACCGGCTTAACCTTGAGGCTGGTACGCGTGTGTTCGAAGTGGGGTAGAGAGACGAAAACTATTCTATCACCTGATTGGCTGACAAGCACGCGAGTGGGAGATGACAAGTCAACTGGAACACTACTCGACTTATTTTCAATTCCGATCTGGTTCCCGATTTCAGATTAGTGTAAAAAGATACATGAATAAATAGATGACTAACCCGACCACAACGAACAATAATTAGGAAAATACAATTATGTCCAAAGCTGAGAATTAGAGTAGAAAATAAGGTGCAAAATATTATGTTTAAATTACAATAGCTTTGGAACAAAAAAGGGCTACGGCAGTGAATCATACATCAAACGAAAGCTCATATTCTGTAGAATAGACTAAGGCCAAAAATAAATGTTAATGTTTTACAAGCTTTGAATTAAATGAAATAACGTCCCGAAAAATAGCTTCCGTAGTTTGTCAAGGCTTCTTGTTTCTCTGTTCACATCGGAAAGTCTAAGCACTAGTCGAAAAGATTAGGGTCTGAAGATATTATTCAAGCAGTATAATCCAGTCAAATAAATTTGGAAAGGGAAAAAGAAAAGGGACATAAATAATACAGAAGATTAGAATTTGGGGGAACACAAAAAGTGGATGCACCTGCGCCATTGCAAACAATTTTGAGCCATGTCACCCACGGTCTCGAACCATCGGTTGCTATCATCCCATGGATCCCAACCAGGTAGGTAGTCTACACCTACTAACATGGCTCAGTCCACTTGTCAGTGACTTCATGGATTTATGTCATGTTTTGATCTGGCCGCCTCTAGCTTTCTTCCAACCTACTTCTACACTATAAAACACCGAATATCGGGGCAGTCGGTGGTTGGGCATTCGTAACACATGTCCCAGCCATCTCAACTAATAAAGTTTCATCAGCATATTCAACATTCATATACTCATTTTACAAATTTCTTTGTTTATTTATTATTTTCTAGACGAATAATAAATTGGCGATTTGTTTCACGTGTTGAAAAACAAATGTGTGCCTTTTTAGAAGGTTTTAGTGATTTAATTCCATTAGAAGCATTACAAATATTTGATGCAAATGAATTAGAATTATTAATGTGTGGATTACAAGATATTAGTGTAACAGATTGGAAAGCGAACACTTTATATAAGGGTGAATATCATGCTAATCATCCAGTCATTGTAAATTTATGGAAGGTAATAATAATGATCATAATAATAACTGTTTATATAATCATCCTCATCATAAGTAATAGTAGTAGTAATTGTTGTTGTTGTTGTGGTGGTGGTGGTGGTAGTGATGGTTTGTATCTTCATTATTCTCAATCGTCTTTATAGTTTAAATCACGGATTGATCTTGGGTAGATCATCATTACTGGACAGCCATTTTGTCCTAGTATATGACTCCTCGGCAGTGTGCATCTACGATCCCATCCCTGGGAACAAAACCTAGGACCTTTGAATTTAGGAATCTGGAAGTTAAAGGAAATTTCTCGGTCCGATTCCCGAATGCGCGGTCATAGACGCTCGAATACAAAAATAAAAGGAGGGAAAAGTATAAGGATCTTTACTTCCAACATTAGTTTGTGTACAGAGAACAAGAGTATTTGCGGTACTTTTAGATTTCGAAAGCTTCTGGACAGCATTTCATACCACAGAATAGCTGTAGCAAGATGACTATTGGATAACCTAAAAGCACTAGGTAGCTATTTCGTCTTAGTATAGAATCCTTAGTAGTGGTGATCCATGACACGTCCCTGGGGATTAAACCTAAAGACTTTTGGATTTTTCAGTGATGACTTAACCTTTGAACATTTAAGAAAGCATCCAGTGGTTTATGCTTCTAACTTCAGTCAGTTTGCGACATCGCGCAACTATCAAATAGTACTGTTGATAGGGTAACCACCTGAATCCAAACATGGTTGAATCGTTTTTGCCCCCTCATCATCAATTAGCCCCCAAATGCCCTGGTACGGCCGAGAGTGGGGAGAATCCGCTCCCCCTCTCGTAATGCTCTCACACGTCCACGCTTATGTAGCCTCTGCCAGGGAATTCCTACTCATTGCCTTTTCGTAACTGGGATGTTGTTTACGAAATTTAGGGGATGAAAAGCGAACGTTCGACGCTTTAATCGAGTTAGTGGACACGGAGAGTCCATCTAGGGTAGTTGAAAAACCCTGATTTCAAACCAATGATGCACATGTGCCCCAGTATCCTGAAGGAACAAATGGCGTATGAACCAATCGTTGATCACCGGCTACCATGGGACTGCATCTCCTTACGTTACTCCACTGTCTTGTGGATCAGAGCTTTGGGTCAAAGGCTCCGGGTGTTGACCCCCTAAGAAAACCATCTGCTCCGGTTGGGGCACCCGGTTAGTATCACAGCTCTCACACATATTGAATGAGATTTGCGTGTTGCATATGTATTTGATGCCTCCTTGTACCAATATCTATGTGTTAAAATAAATAAATAACATCATTAGTTAACAATCCGATCTAAAATTCACTTGATTCTCTCTCGACATCTATATGCCTTTTCTCTTACACCTACTTTTCTCATTTCAAAGGCTATATACACATTTACAAATGAATTAAGGAGTCGTTTACTACAATTCGTCACTGGGACATCACGTGTACCTATGAATGGTTTTTCAGAATTATGGGGTTCAAGTGGACCACAGAAGTTCACTGTTGAATGTTGGGGTTCTGTGGATCAGCTGCCTCGTGCTCATACTTGGTACGTGTGTTTTTTTAAAGAGAAAATATTGTTTAATTTTCTAGCTATTTGGATATTTCATCAGTCAATCAGTCAGCTACAAAGTAGGACTAGGCATATATATGCATCTGTCCAAATTGCCATATCTCATTAGCACTACAAAATGAATACCGAATTCATAGAAGTATTTACTTCAATCGTGGTAATATATAAAAGAAAGATTGCAATAAGGAAATAGTACAGGAAGAAAGAATTAGTTAGTAGAAAGAAAGATATGAAGCGAATTTAATCTCTTAGTTTAAGGAAACACAGGGAGTGTATACACCGACGCCATTGTGATCGATTCTGAGCCATGTCACCAAGAGTCTCCAATCATTGGTTAAGATAGTCACACGGACCCCAATCAAGTAGTCTGCATCTACCAACATGGCTCAGACTACAAGTTAGTGACTTCAAGCACTGATGCCACGTTTTGGTTTGGCCACCCCTAACTTTCTTCCAACCATCCCGAACACCGGTTAGCATTGCACGTCGTGGTAATCGGTGTTCAGACATACGTAACACGGGGCCCAACCATCTCGGTGAAGATTTACAACCTCACCAACTGAATATTTTATAGCACCCGACTGTTGATTCCTAATTTTCTATGAAGCATATCAGTTGTGGTTTAACATAGGACATAACAAAAACATCACGTTTGAATTCTTTCATCTCACACTGACACCATGACAGAGGTTATTAAGAAGGTGACTAGCAGTCAGTCAGTCAGTCAGCTACAACGTAGGACCAGGCACATATATACATCGGTCCAAGTTGCCATATCTCATTAACACAAGATCAACACCGGATTCATAAAAGTAGTTAATTCAGAGGTGGTAATATATAAAAGAAACATTGCAATAAGGAAATAGTACAGGAAGAAAGAATTAGTTAGTAGAAAGAAAGATATGAAGCGAATTTAATCTCTTAGTTTAAGGGAACACAGGGAGTGTATACACCGACGCCATTGTGATCGATTCTGAGCCATGTCACCAAGAGTCTCCAACCATTGGTTACGATAGTCACGCGGACCCCAACCAAGTAGTCTGCATCTACCAACATAGCTCAGACTACAAGTTAGTGACTTCAAGCACTGATGCCACGTTTTGGTTTGGCCACCCCTAACTTTCTTCCAACCATCCCGAACACCGGTTAGCATTGCACGTCGTGGTAATCGGTGTTCAGACATACGTAACACATGGCCCAACCATCTCAGTCGATGAAGATTCATAACCTCATCAACTTATTTACCATCATTCCCTAATACCCTGCGTCTAACCTCACTATTACTTACCCGGTGATCCCAGCAGAACAGAAGAAACTCACAATGTCTTTTACACTGCGACATTAAGCATAACAAATTTGCAGCTTTTAAAAGAGAAAATGAAGTTAATGAATAAGAAGTACAAAATATCACTAAACTTAAGTTTCAAAGGAAAGTTGAAGTAATGATATGAATTCACTATTGTGGTCGTTTTCAAGTTATGTTATTCAAAGTCTCTAATAATGGATTTTGAGTGTAATCTTACAGTTCCTTTTCTTTTCTAAAAGTCCGACCGCTGCTACTACCTTGACGTGGCGGTTGGACTTGCCCATCGTGGTAAACCAATCAGGCTATGCTGGCTAGAACAATCGTTTCTCAAGGTCCTACCATACCAGGGAGGTCGGTTGAAGAGCGGTAAAACTAAAAGCAGCAAACTCCAAGATCCGAGCGCGAGGTCGTACTGCTGACTGTATAGACGTTTGATGGCAGTAAGATGTTTCCCTCAGATAATCAGCATGATAGCGATGCTGACTTTCTACAAAGCAAGGGAGGGTTAGGAAAGGTCGACCCTAAAAATGCACATTTCGCCTTGTCCCACAGATTTCTGTTTCCGTCGGTAAGGTCTCAACAAGTACGGAGCTAACACAAAACTGTCGTGTGTGACTGACCTTAAGCAGTCGTCCTTTGAACACTGCGGTCACTCAGGTCACTAAGATCTAGAAGATCTCTAGAAGAGGAGCCGGAAATGCTAACCACCCGCATACCTCTAACAACACTCAAGATTGACTTTTTAAAAGGTCTCTTTTGTATAGTAGCGGTCAATGTGGTGATGCAATGTTTTCATTTTGGTCCCCCTTAGCTTTCTTATATCTTTGGTAGAACTATGACTAATCTTGATGCATGTAGTTCAAAGATCACAGACATTGTCGTTCTAAAGGGCGACCTCAACATGTAAGAAAATAGATCAATAAAGTAACAATAACAATTACAAGAAAAGATATTATCTGACATTGATCATGTGAATGACACATCGGTATCAGGCACTAACTCCGCTAATCATATCTCTCCAACAAATGACTTCATTTTTCTGTGGACGTTCGTATTTCGATCAATATACCGGTCATAGAGCTTGGGACATAAGTGTTTGTTGACGCAGACTATTAAATCATATGCGAATGAGACAAAATTAGCAAAATATGTAGCGAAGTAATCGAATTAATGTAGCAACAATGATAATTTAAAAGATTGAACACAGAATATGATTCCATATGACAGAATGAAAGGGTATATATGAAGGAGTTTTGGAACCCTTGCTTTAAAGGAGATGATAGAGAATGAATGCTGGATGTACATCATTGTGACTAATTCGGAACCATCTCGGTAAGCATCTCTGACCACTGACTGTGGTTATCGATAATAGGTCGTATATTCCAGTTTCATTATATTGGCTTTGGATTGATGGCACTCAGATAGTGTATCTTTTACACAAACAATATAAGTGTTTGTCATATATTTGAATTTGTTCATTATCGCCATATTTAAATAATTTGTAATGTCTTTATTACGTTTTGTTGTGCATGTGTGTGTGTTTTCTCATCTCTTTTTCTTCCTATTCCACAGTTTTAATCGTTTAGACTTACCCGCCTATCCAACATTTGAAGAGTTACGTTGTAAATTAATTATTGCTATTGAAAATGCTGAAGGATTTGAAGGTGTCGATTGAATGAAGGTTCTTATCTTTCTACATATACTATTATTATTATTATTTAATAAACTTCATTTCTTTACTGTTATTTCTTTTGGTTATTGTAAATTCTACATAACATAATGCACATAATAAACCATGTAGCATTTCTACTTGGATAATGCTGTAATTCACAAACTTTCGAATACCTACATTACATATATTTAGACATCTTTTTTTCGGGGGGTGGGAACTACCACTTGGACATCGACATATATATATATATATATATATATATATATATATATATATGTTTATTTCTCCCCCCCCAAGTCAAATAGAATACTCCCTATCATTAATGGTAATGAAATCATGAAAAAAACAAACTTCATTGTATTCACTATTCAACAAACAAAGTGAATAAGACAAAATATTCAACTCTTCTGAATATCATTGTTGTTTCTATACACACAAAAAAAATTATGTAATATTAGTAATTGCATAATTTATTTCAATGGGATTTATTGTATTTTAAATCATATTCACTTTAATGATATTTAGTTAATAATTAACTAATAGTTCTTTATTGTATGTGTGTGTGTGTCTGTATGTACACTTACTTACATCTGTTACCGGAGTTCTCCATCGAACTCCTATTCTGCATAAACTTTTGTAAAATTATTCTTTAATCTTTTCATTTGTTTTCTTTCATTAAACCGATTGACCCTGTGTTGTTGTTGCTGGCGGGGGTGGTTCATGTTGTCATTGTATATTTCAATTGCACTGTTGTTATATATATATATATATATATATTTTTTTTCTAGTTATTATATCACTTCAACTTCCGCGATACGCTTTAATCATTTATTCCCCATATTGTTCTCTTCATGAGAATGAAAGAATATTAGATTATGTAAAATAATAATCAATGTATATTGTTGGGTTTGTTTGTTCGCTTGTTTTTTTCTCATAGTGAAAATCGAATAATCAATATCGCACTATAGTTATGTGTTGTTGTTTTCCAATATTTATTTCGCTTCCCCTCTTGTTTACTGTCCCGTTTGGTCTCCGCCCCACCCTGGACATAACATACTAATCCTTTTTCTTAAAATCTTCATTATTTACATTGTTTTGACTGAAGCAGACAAGATCATCTCTTTCTTGATTTGAGGCCAATAATTCCTTTTTATACATGTATACACTCATGTATATCACGAAGAGTATTATTATTATTATTATTACTATTGTAATTACTATCGCTTAATAATCACCCTCCTGTCACCCTACTAACCTTATGAACATAAGTAATTCAGTTTGATTTGTTGAATAAACCGTATAATCACAATTCACATTGTTTTTAATTTCTATGTTGTTGTTGTTGTTGTTCAAGTTATACTCTATTAGTTCTTTGTTGTTGTTGTTGTTGTTGTTGTTTGGAATAAACATAGAATTAGAAAAGAAAAGAACAAAAACCGGTTTCTTTTCTCTTAGAATTCATTTCACACTTTTTTCTCAAACAAATTGGTAATGAATTAAATATCTGATGGATAACTTGTGAATAAAATTAAAATGACTTTAAGAATGATTATCTACTTATAAGGATTATCATTTACTATGAAGAATTAAGATTAAGATTTACAGTTAGTTGAACAACAATAGTTGGAATGAGATTGAATCTTTTCCAACACGAACTGATATCAGTCTATTCATGCTAAAATTTAAAATCTACTATCTTAAATTTGTTCGGTTTGTTTATAAATTTATAATCTCACCGACCATTTGTGAACAACTGAAAAAGAAATAGGGTAAAATGATGCGCAAACACATATTATTGGATATTGATTGGTTATAATGCCGTTGTACGGCCGAGAGTGGGGAGAGTGAGTTCTCCCTCTTCAAATGCTCGCACATGGTCACGTGCATACAACCACTGCCAGAGAAGTCCTACCCACTGCCTTCTTGTGGTGGGGATGTTGTTGATGAAATTGAGAGGAGGGTCCGGCTAGGGGAGTTGGAAAACCCTGATTCCAAACCAATAGTGCACATAGGCTCCAGTATCCTAAGGAAACAAATGGTGTATGAACCAATTGTTGGTCACCGGCTACTATGAGACGGTATCTCCTGACATCTCTCCACTGCCTTATGGATTAGACCTTTAGGTTGAAGGCTCTGGGTGTGGTCTCCTCAGAAAACTACCTGCTTCGGTTTGGGGATCCGGGCAGTATCCCAGCCCTGACACAAATCGAATGATTTATGTGGCGCATATCTATTTAGTGCCTTCTTGTACCTATGTTTATGTTTAAATAAATTAACTGAATATAATAACATTTCAACGAAATATGATCTTGTTTATTTATTTTTATGTTCTTGGCGGTTGTTGGTTTGTTTTAGTTACTTTCTCCCTTTAAGGTTTATTCTCCCTGTTTTATTTTATGCTTGCATTCTATAAAGTAACCATTTTTGATGGAGGTTTGTTCTCTTATGATGTCGTTCAGAAGAACGATGAGAGCTCCATGACCGAATCATCCAGCTCAGAGAACGAAACTGCATGAAAATCATCTACTTGAGCAACAAATCGTCGCTCGCGCACGAGACCACCAGATCTTGGGTTCGAACCCTGCGGGACGAGATTATGGATGCGCACTGCTGAGGAGTCCCATACTAGGACGAAACATCCGTCCAGTGCTTTCAGATTTTCCATGGTAATCTAGCTTCAATTGACTCATAAATTCAACTATTAAATTTTTTATTTATTTTAACATTTAATAGTTAGAATTTATGTATAAACACTAGAAAATTAGATGAGATTAAACTAGTTGACACTATATTTTGTGGTTCAACTAATTATGAGCTGTTTTTCTCTTACTTTTCTTTCACATCTTTTCATACATAATAACATTCCACAGTTTTCTCTATCGTCATCATTTTCTTTACCAGTTCTAAAGCTAAATATATTTAATAAACAAAAGTGAAGTTTTCATCAATAAACTGTCTATGAATTGGAAAAGCATGATGAGCTAAAGACAGTCATTTTGTTGTGATTTGAGAATTTAAAATGATAACAGATGACCTACAAGTTAAGATATAAGCGTACAGTGAGTACGAGTATACTGGTCATTTAGTCATAATCAACGTTGAGGCTGGGATACATGTTATTACGTCCTTGATCTGTCCATCTAGTAATAAACAGAAGATAACTTATCTCAATCTAGATTGAAGTCTTGACACGGTAGGGTGACTGGCTTAACCCTGAGGCTAGTATGCGTGAGGTCGAAGTGAAACTAACTGCTTGTGGTAGGCGGATGAAAACTATTCTACCATCTGATTGGCTGACAAGCACGTGAGAGAGAGAAGACGAGTCAACTGGAACACTACTAGATTTATGTGGCGCATATAAATTTGGTGCCCCCCTTTACCAATGGGTTCTAATCTCAAGAGGCGGGATCGTGGATGTGCCCTGCTGAGGAGTCCCATACCAGAACAAAACGGTCGTCCAGTGCTTTCAGGTTTTCCATGGTGGTCTAGCTTTAATTGACTCATGAATTCAACTATTAGATTACTACTCGATTTATCCCTAATTCCGACTCACGTCAGTGCAAAAGTATACATGGATAATATAGATCACTAACATGACAACAACGCACAAACAATTAGAAAATTACAATTATGTTCAAAACTGGAAATTGCAGTAGAAAATAGAGTACAGAAGATAATGTTCAGGTTACAATAGCTTGGACCAGAAAAGGCTATTGCAGTGAATCAAACGAAAGCTTTTGTTTTGTAGAGTAACCTAGGAACAAAACTGAATGGTAGTGTTTTACAAGCTTTGAATTAAGTGAAATAACGTTCTCAAAAATAGCTCCCTTAGTTGGTCAAGGATTTTGTTTCACTATTCACATCGCATGTATTGATCAGGAAGTACCGGTTACCTTTGTCATTGTGATGACGCGATTGAGCTATGTTGCTTGGAATATTCGTTCTTTTACGTCCTATCATGTCAGCCAGGTCGTTTGCAATACGGTTAGACTGAAACTATTATCTTAAAGTCTGAGTACGAAGTCGTACTGCTGGTTTTACTTGTATGTGACACCAGTAAGGTATTTATCACAGATAACTAACGTCTTCGGCGATTCCATGTTCTCCCTGAAAATGGTATATCTTATCTGGCCTCACATATTTCCGTAGCTGATGGAAAACTCTTTAAAGTATGAGGTTAACATACTTAAAACTATTAAAAAAGGACTTTTTATGTCCTGTCTCAAGAACTTATTTCTTGGGCTTTGCAGCTACATTCTGAGAACACCTAAACTACTATGAATCTAGTTTGTATTTCAAGCACTTCATGAAGAACTATCCATTCAAAATATGGTCAACGTAGTATGCTTTGATTACGACATACTATTCTCTGATCAATAAAATTCAATGGTGATTGAAACGTAATTTAGTGACAGCGAATTTTCATTTTGCAGTTTTATTCTGAGTTGAGTTATCGCCAATGTCCAAGAGTCACTGCGGATATTTAAGACTACATTAAATCAACCCATGTTGGCGTATGTGTATCTTGAGAGAATATCTTCTGGATGTATATACTTTTTTAAAATTGTTACTAACAATAAAAACTTAACACCGAGAGTGGGGGGAGTCCGCACTCCCTCTCGAAATGCTCTCACATGGCCACGTGCATACAACTACTTGAAAGGAAGTCCTACTCACTGCTTGCTCGTGGCGTTATTGTTGTTAATGAAATTGAGAAGACGAAAACCGAACCTTGGGCACTTTAACTGGGTTGGTGGATACGGAGGATCCATCTAAAGAAGTTGGCGAACCCTGATTCCAAACCAATGGTTCACAAATGGCGTATGAACCTATTGTTGATCACTGACTACCATTATACTGCATCTCCTAATTTTGCTCCACTGCCTTATGGATTAGACATTTAGGTCGAATACTATGAGTGTGTCGTCCTAAGAAAACCACCTGGCTCAGTTTGGGCACCCAGACAGTATTCCAGCTCCCACGCAAATCGAATGATTTATGAGGCGCATATCTATTTGGTGCCTTATTGTACCTATGTTTAAGTGTTTAAATAATAATAATACCATTTAAAAATATTTTAATATTTGAGATCATGAGTCAATTGAAGCTAGACTACCATGAAAAACATGAAAGCGATGAACGGCCGTTTCGTCCTATCATGGAACTCCTCAGCAGTGCGCATCCATGATCCCGCCATTGGTAATATGAGGCACTAATTATATATGCGTCACACAAATCGAGTGGTGTCTCAATTGACTGGTCTTCTCTCTCTCACGTGCTTTTCAGGTAATCAGATGATAGAATAGTTTTCGTCTGTCCATCCCAAGCGTTTAGTTTCTCTTCGGACGGTTTTAATAACTGATAATATTGAAAAGAAAATTTTCTTCTCTATAAACTATCTTTATGTAATTAAATTTAATTAAGTATTTAAGTAGTATATGTATATTAATGATTATAATAGTATGACTGTATGTAATCAATAGATATATATTCAACATTAAATGTTTGATTAACTGATCTACATTTAATGTAGAACTAACTATGCGAAATTTTTAAAATTATCTCATCATTATCAGAAGGGGTTTTGTGGATATTGTAGTAATTTCAATAGTTGAGATCATGAGTCACTTGAAGTTAGACAACCATAGAAAACCTGGAAGCAATGTACGGCTGTTTTGTCCTATTGTGGGGACTACTCAGTGAAAGTGCGCATCCATGATCCCGCCCCTCGCGAGATTCGAACCCAGGGCCTATCAGACTTGTGCGTGAACTGTTAACCTCTAAAATCAATGAACTGGCCGGCATACAACAATGTTAATGTCTAACTTCAAATAATCCACGAAATTGACCAACACATTCATCATTGTCATCAGTGAATTACTATCTCACAACAGATTCAATTGAACTCTACTGGTCACTGCTTCTCATTAGAACTTCAGAAAAGATACCTTTTAAATCAGAAGAGTTTTCCATAATGATCTATAGGCTTTATCAACTAAACTATATTCACAATAAGGAAAATAATTATGAAATAATTTTATTTATTTATTTATACAAATGCATACGTGCACACACGTACGTACGTACGTACGTACGAGTGCACGTATTTACACACACACACACACACACACACACACGTGATTTTCATCTTTCAAATTTACCTATAACACTATAATTGAATATTGAAAATAAATAACCTTGGCCGCTT